GCCTCTCATCCCTGAGATCAAAGGTTCAAGGCTGTGCACCAATGTACTGTCTATATGCGCATTTAACACGCTCTCGTTAAGGAAAACATCATAAGGAAATTCATGCCTTAGAATCAAAAAGTCAGTGTGTCAGGGACAGAAGGCCGATCGTATGCTATTTAGAAAAATGATCACGAAATATACAGCAATCTCCCGAAAAGGTTGCGTCTCTGGGTTTTTTACCTGAAAGCTGTCATCTTGTTTATAAATGGCATGTCTCGTTCAATGACTTATTTTGCGATAGCTGGTAACAAATACTCAAAAACATTTAAATTTAAATTGTCTTAATACATGTAAATTTAATATTCCCTTTAAAGCATGCAAATACAGTCTAGGCTCCGAATATGATTTTGTCCCATTCTTTGTCGAGACCCTTGGTCCGTGGGGTCCTAGCACTATAAGGCTTTTTAAGGGAATAGCAAAAAGGTTAGTCGACATCACAGGAGACCGAAGAGCTGGCAGCTACCTCGGAGAAAGATTTAGTCTAGCTATTCAAAGGGGGAACTCTGCCAGTATCTTCGGAACCTTTGTCTAAAGGGACTCCTTTTAATAATATATTTTAGTTATTATATTTTAAGGTTAGTTATTGTTTTTTTTTGATGTTCCCTTTCGAGGTGAAGGCTTCCTACAATAGTATTCCCGTGATTAGGCCTCCCGAAACCAGTTGGTGCACGCCATCTTTTGGATTTCATTGCCATCTTGCATTAGGCCCTGGTTTACTTTTACTCTAAGGGCCTTTCGTTTGAAACGCGCCTCCCCCCACTTCAAGTTTAGGAAGAGTAGCAGTCCATCGTGATATGCCTCGCTCTTCTTATATGTATAAAATATCTATGATCGCCTTTCTGCCGCCGTTACCGACCAGTCGTACTGTTAACATATTTATAATGTAATGTTAAAAATAAAATATACAGTATTTAGATTTTCTTAATCTACATAGTAATAATAAAAATAATTAAAAATTAATAAAAAGAAAATTAAAACAAATTTAAAAAAATTTTGTCCCTGTGGCAGTGTACCTTTAACGCTGGCAGTATTTCCTCGCTGTATTCGATTAGGAAAGCACCAGCTCTGGAGTCACCGATTCTATCTACCAGGCGCCAACTTAAATCTTTAATTAGCGCCTGTGCACTTGAACCCCACGGCCCAAGAGTCTCACATGTAAACTATATTGAAAATGTAATTTACATGTCTTATCACGATAGTTTAATAATGCAATCAAATGTTAAATTGCAAATGGTTTCACAAGTTATTACTTTTGTGTTGTAATATTTTATTTAAATACAAATTTTTATAATGATAAATATTAATGTTTGAATTTACTTATAAAGATTTTGATATAAACATATTCGAAATACATAATATCGGTTTCGTATTTTGATTGATTTATTGCTTTGTTTCACTCGGATTTTTTATTACCTTTTGCCTTTATATTTGTTAGTAGTTACGTCCTCAACTTTATAATTTTGTAGTGAGAGTTTTATGCGTTTTGTGACTATTGTAAGGCAAGGTATCAGTAGGTTATCGGTCGAACCTCTGTTGTTCCCAAACTAATATTATTTCTCCATATTCTTAAGACAATTGTGTGCAATTCTTCTTGTTAAGGATATATCTAAACGAGGTATGTACTCAGGTCTTATTTTAGTATAAAAATGTGTATCGGTACGTCCCGATTTTTTTATTGAAAATTAAATGCCCCCGCGGGACAGGCTTTTTCCCGCTTTTCGGCACTCGACACTCAAGACACCACTGCGATGCACAGAAATGGCACAATCTCTTTCAACAGTTACCAAAAAAAGATACCAGGAATATGTTTAAACTACTATCTTTCATATTATTAGGTATCGCAACATCAAACTTGCTTCCCTGAACGCCATTTATCCCAGATAAATTATAATACTCATTCCTCACAGTTCTGACTATTGTTTGAAACGCCATATTTTTCTAATCAATATCACCTTTAGTTACTATGTCCCGCTTTCGACGAAAGATTCCCACTTTTTTAACTCAAAAAGTTCCAAAATCCAATAGCAACGCTGATCGACGGCCACCGAACCATTCTTTATGGTACAAAACTCAATTTTTTTTCGATTTGTTTTGACTCGATTCGATTTTGTAATATATATGTGGATAATTAAGGCGTTTATTATCCATATCGTATATGTACAAAAACAAAGGGTTGTATTTATAAATAAGTGCCTGAATTTGATGATACTGATATACTGTCAAAGGACTTTGACTGCCTGAGTTGCGTCTAGGTATAGAAATAATTAAATATCATTTTGTGTATTGTCTTGAAATTCGTTAAACGACGTTACTAGTGTTATTTTAAACCCATAGGCGCGGTGGGAGAGCAGCCCCCACCCGCTTTAACAAAATTGTTCATCTCTTGTTTTTTTGTCCTTTCGGATACCGTTTTTGACCAGATGCCATCTGTATGGGCTACATGACCTACCCATCTCCATTTGAGTAATATTAGGTCCTTACATATGAAATTGGCGTTTTGTATGGGAGGAACAAAAAAGTCGAATATTTTTAAATATAATATATTTAATTAATCAAAGTATGAACCATTGTTTTCTATGCACTTTTGCCATCTCATAGGTAGTTCATTGATCCCTTTACTAAAAAAACCAGTTCGACGGGAATCAATAAAATCTGTGAAGGCGATTTGGACTGCCCCATCAGAGTTAAATTTTTCCCTTGCAAGAAGTTGTCCAAATTTCGAAAAAAATGGTAATCTGTTGGAGCAAGGTCCGGGGAGTACGGAGGATATCTTAGACATTCCAATTGAAGCTCTTCTAATTTGGTAGCCATCTGTTGTGCAGTGTGTGGTCTAGCGTTGTCGTGAAGTAGCAGTGGCGTGGAGCGATTGACCAGCCTAGGTTGTTTAGCCGCTAGCTTTTCCATCATGGTTTGCAATTGCAGACAATAGACATCAGCCGTAATAGTCTGGCCAGATTTGAGAAAACTGCAATGAACAATACCGGCACTAGTCCACCAAACGCTTACAAGTAACTTTTTTGGGGTTAATTTTCGCTTGCACTGAGCGCTTCCGATTATCGTAAAGAATCCATTTTTCATCACAGGTAATGATTCGGTTTAAAATACCTTCATTATTGTGCCGGTTCAGTAATGTAACGCAGCAGTCGACGCGCGTTTGCCGGTTTGCTTCAGTCAATTCTAGAGGTACCCATCTTTCAAGCTTTTTGTGAATTAAAACAGTTTTATCACTAACACCGCAGCCTGCAGCTAGCTCGGACGTGGTTTGCGATGGATCCGCTTGCACAATAGCCTTCAATACTTCATTATCAACTTGGGTCTCAGGCCGTCCACGGGGCTTATTCTGCAGGTCGAAATTTCCTAAACGAAAACGCTGGAACCAAAAACGAACTGTGTTTTCTTTTGCAACATGACCGCCATACACATCATTAGTGCCACGCACTAGTGCCACGGAACTCGTACTCGTAAATAATGCGATACTTTAAGTTTTCCATTTTGTAAAATGAGTGACGCAAACAGAAAAAAACAAATGAATGACGGTCATCGAAGCACAAATACATGAGTAAATAGCTGTACAAAATTTGAATTTGGAATTCCTTACCAAAGAGGAGAACATCGTGATTAAAGTGGCCAGTACGAAAAACATTCATATGTAAGGACCTAATATTAGTCACTAGCGACCCGCCTCGGCGTCGCACGGATGCAATGCTGCCCTGCGATTCTGTAACTCACTTTTCGAACTCACGCAGGGCTGATACTAAATTCAAAGTGCTATGGAGTATAGGGAGAACCGCGGCCTCCGACGCGCTGCGTCCCGCGATTTTTAAATTTGTAATATCTTCGAAAATATTCATTTAAATCATATGCTGTAAAGGGCCATATAAATATATATTAAATCAACAATGTATTTAAGGTATTTAATTAGATAAGGATTAATGCTGTATTGGTTAAAATCGCTTCGATAATTAGCCATTATTTGTCGTAAATAGTAAATGACAAAAATTTCTTATTGTGGGATATTCATAAGAGGTAGACATATAACATCGTGGTGTTTTCTGTAGAACTTTTTGATGTGTACAATACTTAGTACAATATTTTGATAAATCTCGTAGGGTTCGCAATGTAAGCGGAAAAAATGTAATTATTTACGATTTATGACATCACATTAGAAACCTCAAAAATAACAGTATTTCTCCACTATTTAATGGATGTTATTATACATATAAACCTTCCTCTTCAATCACTCTATCTATTAAAAAAAACCGCATCAAAATCCGTAGCGTAGTTTTAAAGATTTAAGCATACATAGGGATATAGGGACAGAGAAAGCGACTTTGTTTTATAAAATGAAAAAAAAAAAAAAAAAATATATAGATTGTGGTTTGCCTTGTCTTTAATAAAAATATTTTATTTTTTTAGAAAATCATACTTTCTTCCTGTTTACAAAAATACTTCTATCAAACGTTTTAGCGTCTCTGGGTATTTTCATATTGTAGTCGGGTTTCATTGAAGTATTGCCACCAGCACTCGTACTCTGTAACTTCCAGCAGAAGTAGATGTTTTATAAAAAAAATTAAAATAAAATATGTTTATTATGGAATATAAGATACAGGCATCACTTATTCCACGTCATTAAATTTGTATCGATGAAGACAGAGGGTGTAGGCCGAGAGAAAAAGCCGGCGTAAAAAACTCTCGGTACTCTTTTAAAATAGCAAATCATCAAACAACACTTATTTTAAAACAAATATCGCAAATTAATTAGAAGTAGCCTGTCTAGCACTAGTCCCAGGCCCTTTTATCAACTAGATAATCGTTAACTTTATAGTAAGCCTTGTTTTCTGGTGTCTTTATCGTTGCACGCGTATTAAAAGTATGTGTTAAAATGAAATACTTCCATATTTTAGATGTAATGTATATATTTACCCGGTTGACCAGCTGCGTTGGTAAGGTGAATGTCTATGGATACATGGTGTTCTAAATTGGACCTAAGAAGAAGCACGAGAGAGATTCTGGAGATAATTGAGAAGGCTAAAGCCGATAAGGGGCTGTACGCTGTAGTGGTTGATAATGTATTTTTTTAGAGAAAGGGGGCAAACGGGCCCATGGACACTCTCAGTGCCAGAGGGCTCGCGAATGCGTTGCCGGCCTTTTCAGAATTGATAAATTTATTTATTTCGTAAATTTTTAGGTCATTTCCGATACCGGAGGGCCTGGTGATGGACCCGTTGTCACCCACAGCGCTTGCAGTCCCGAACCACATAATGGACCGCATTGGCAGTGGGCTAACCCTGCTCAGGGAGCACGGGAAGAAAGTTCAAAAGGTAATGATGGCCTAATCCAGCCTATTTAAACTAACTGCTGACGCATTCCTGTTACAGAGACCAGTCTCTCATATACACTTCCAAATGTTATCATCTTAGTTTAATCATAATAACCTTGTATGTATATATGTGAGAGAAGAAATAAAGATTATTTATTATTATAATTATTCACGAGCCTTTTTTTATGCCTGTGGGCAGCATCGCTTAACAGCTGAAAATGAAAAAAATACTGAGAAATTGAAACTAGAACTAGTATTAGTAACTAGAATTTTATTAAGTTAATTAGAAAACTAAAGTCTTTTGCAAAAAAACCGGGAGCCCAAGAAATTTACGTTCTAAGTTCCGATTTCAGTTATTTAAATGAAATTGAATTCTCTGACGTCTTAAATCGTACGCGTGCAGAGAATTCTGGCAATTTTTTAAAACATTTTCATGAATTCTTTAAAATTATGTACACGGCCAAACAATAAGCAGTCGGCAATAAAGACAAGATTTTTTTAATATAAAATAATCCAGTGGCACTACAACCTTTTTAGGTCTGGGCTTCAGAATTCTGTATCTATTTCATGATCATTTGTCAATCTAATAGGCAGGTGATCAGCGTCCTGTGCCTGACACACGCCGTCGACTTTTTGGGTCTAAGGCAAGCCGGTTTCATCACGATGTTTTCCTTTACCGTTCGATCGAATGTTTAATGCGCACATAGAAAGTCCATTTGTGCGTAGCCGGGGATCGAACCTACGACCACGGCCATCACTGCTCAAGATTTTTTTACTAAAACCTAATAAGTTGAATTGAATTGAGTAATAATTGTGATTTTTTTTACAGTATCTGTTGAAAAATAGAAAGTTTGAAGTTCTGAAGAAATCATGGAAGTCAATAGTCAACATCGTGTTGGTAGAAGCCAAAGACTTGCCAGTTGGAAATGATACATCCAATGGCCTTTATTGCAAATTCAAGTAAGTTTTACGAGATTAAATTTAAATATGGATAAAAATAGTTAAATTATAAGAGATTAGCTGCCCCCGCGAACTTCGTTTCTCCCTAATGTGATTTTACTTAGCCTACTTCTTTAGTACATACCGACATGGAACATTTTGCTATGCTACCCCAGAGACTGTTCAGTTTTCAGGAATAAAAACTTTTTAGATTTTTCTTTGAATTTTTCTCTATATAAACCTCAGAGTTCAAGTCATAAGTTTTTAATTAACAAATAAAAAATAGGGATTGATCGTAGAGGGGCGAAAATAAAGGGTTGTATGTATTTTTGTATGCTGTATCATAATGAAATAAAAACAAAAAATCTTGTCAGACCTAACCGATATGCACACAAAATTTCACGGAAATCGGTCGAGTTCATGTGCACGGGCTACTTAAAGATGATCGGTGACCCCAGAGCTGGTTTGCTTCACGACTGATTTGAGCGCGACCGCCGCTGCGAAAACCGCTGTGTGAGTTCGAAAAGTGAGTTACAGAATCCCAAGGCTGAATCTTACCCTTTAAGCATACAGAAGTGTTCTTTGTCCTCGTAAAGCTAGTTAACGAATTTTTTATATGAACAAGGTAAACGACCATCTTTGAATTTTTTGCTATATTTTTTGCTAAATGATGGCTATTCAATGTTCTAACTGGTAAACAAGGTTATATACACAATAAATCTTCAACGAAAAGTATTGTCTATAGTTTTAAGTATTTTTTTATTGTTATTACAAACCAATCCAACCAATTTTTAAAACTAACTAACATAAGAACAATTAATGAATACGAAAAACCGCCGGCAACACACTTGCATGTGAGTGAGCTTGGGCGGTAGCAGCAGGTATTTTTTTTTTTAATTGGACAATTCACACCAATTGACCTAGTCCCATGCTAAGCTGGTGAAGCTTGTGTTATGGGTACTAGGCAACGGATATACATACATATTATACATAGATAGACCTAACACATATAAATACATATTTAAACACCCAAGGCCTAAGCACAACACCAAATGCTCATCACATCGATGTTTGTCTCAGCCGGGGATCGAACCCGGGACAGTCGGGGGTACTAACCACTAAACCAATGAGCCGTCGCCGTTTGCCTTTTATTAAAAAGAACAACTTTTAACCATACATATATCATAAATATCTGGGGCCAAGTAATCACAATCCAGGTGTAAGAGATATATGGCCATTGCAATTCTAATGTATGTTAAGATTTGAAGTATTATCGACTACCTACATACAAATCAAAATTAAAACAACTTTATCGACTACCCACAATTTTTGTACTCTTTTTGCGTTTATCAAATTTAAATAATTAAATAAGTACTACGTAAGGCTCTAAAAGGGCCTCTAAGTAATTGTAAAGTGTTTTTGTACTTTCAGTTAATTAATACGTCAAACACTTCAAATCATAAAAAAAAATATGAGAGTAAATTTTTACGATCCTCGACCGGTCTAACCACTGGCTTAAAGTTTCCTTTTTTTTGTAATGGAATCTCGCTGTTGCCCTGATGGCCCTTGACTAGCTCGGGCTGTTTTGAATGCCGGAATTTTCCCGCAACTAACGCAAGGGCGTCCTTTGCTACCTTAGACAATTTTTTTTGTTTTTATTTTTTTATGATACAGCATACAAAAATACAAACAACCCTTTTTTTTCACCCTTCTACGATCAACCCTTATTTTTTATTTGTTAATTAAAATCTTATGACTTGAACTCTGAGGTTTATATAGAGAAAAATTCACAGAAAAACGTAAAAAGGTTTCTTTCCAGAAAACCGAACAGTCTCTAGGGTAGCATAGCAAATGATCCATGTTGGTATGTACTAAAAAGGTAGGCTAAGTAAAATCAGATTAAGGAGAAACGAAGTTCGCGGGGACAGCCATATATATGTTAACGTAAAATTATATAATTAATATATAATATATTTGTTTGGGTTCAGTAAACTTTCCGTAAAGTATTTCATATGTGAACTGTTATTCAATATTTAATCAGTAATATTCCTACTTCTAATATAAATACAATGCACAGCGAAAAAGGAAAATCTATTTATTTTATTTTTACTCTCAAACATCACACTTATTTAAATATGTTATATAAAGGATAAGCCTGTTTCATTTTTGTATAGTGTTTTTTTTATTCTAGATACATGGTCTTTACATATAATTATCAAATCAATGTATACAAAATTGTAAAAATTATTTTAAAATAGTATGAAGTTTCTTGCCCATTCTTCTCCTTATGAAACCTTTTGGAAGGGGCAACTAGTATTATTTTTTTAATATTTTTAACTTTCAAAAGTGCCTTTTTAATAGGCCTAATTTAAATAAATGATTTGACTTGACTTGATATATACATTAGAACTTAAGAACTTAGATCCATGGAACTTCCTTAATAGTAGCCCGCGATATCGCGCACACAACTCATGGGACTCTTTGTATTAAAAGTCGCATCGCCTCCGCGAATGTACAATGTATAACATAAATAGCAATTAGGTAGGATTATTAAAAAGCAAAAGAAAATAATAATAGTAAATTATTAAGAATGCAAGGTTGCTAAATGACTCAGTGAAGGGTCTCCAGGTTGGTAAACCTGTCCACCGAGTTTTTTCATCATAGTTTTATTGTAAACCCTTCACAATCTGTTAACCATTAAACGATGTGCAATTTAAAATGGATTCACACATACACAATGAATAGTAATTTAAAAAACTTTGTATATATTCAGTAGTGGGGGACCAACATAAAAAAAGACCTAGTATATCGAATATTATCATTCAATATTAAGAGAGCAGTGTTGGCCTAGTGGCTTCAGCGTGTGACTCTCATACCTGAGTTCGATCACCGGCCGTGCACCAATGGACTTTCTATGTGCGCATTTAACATTTGCTCGAACGGTGAAGGAAAACATCGTGAGGAAACCGACATGTCTTAGACCAAAAAAATCGACGGCGTGTGTCAGGCACTGGAGGCTGATCACCTACTTGCCTATTGGATTTAAAACATGATCATGAAACAGATTCAGAAATCTGAGGCCAAGACCTAAAGAGGTTATAGCGCCACTGATTTATTTTTATTCAATATTTATTTTATTTTTTCTTCTTATTTTTGGTTCTTTATCTTTGGTCCACTATATTGCGTTGGAACTTTAGATACTAACTTAAATTGTATATTTTTAAAAAAGTTAAAAATCATTTAATCATATAGGTAACATAATTTACACTTATGACTCGTCAGTACATATTAATATATTTATTGATGTTATATAAATAAAACATTAGACACTTCAGACAATTCAGGTTTATAAAAATCACCTTTTACTAAAAATGTAATGTCTAAAGCTATTGTTGATTTTAATTCTGCAAAACTTTTGAAATTAATTAACACTAATTTGCATTGACTACAATTATTGTTCCAACATAGTTATTTTGTTGTTCGAGCTTTGGCTGTAAGCAACAAAGTAATTAACTACTTATTTAGTTTTATTTTACGTCCTTACGAAAAGATCGGTCGAAAACGATCCAAATTATTTAATCGTCTTTTTGCACGTTTAATAAATATATGCCTAGCAAATACATCTATCGATCGATTTCCAATTAAAAAAAATGTCATCCGAAGACGGTATAAGCCACACATATAAATAAGTATATCTGCACATATAAATAAGTATATCTGCACCAAGATACCTAAATAACGGTTTGGATCAGAGGTTCACCGTGGTGAGATAATCTCAAAGCTTTCGGGCAAGCTCGCCACGATTATTAAGGGCTTGAAGAAGTGGCGAAGGTTTGAGAGAAAGCGAGAATAAGACAGCAATATTCAGATCTGATTTATTGTACACACATACATATTTAGTCTTTCGCCGTTTTAGCAACCTTGCTGTGTTTATCATTTGCTATTATTTATTTCTTTATTCCTATGTGTTTACGTTTTATATTCGCGAATGCTTTGTGGACCCATTATTTCTTCAACACAAAGAGTACCCTCGTGAGTTGTGTGCTGTGATATTGCGGGCTACTGTTGAGGAAGTTGCATGGATATCCTGGCACATTCTTAGGTTCTCATGTAAGGGGCCGTCTCCACAAGCGAGAGAATCGCGACGATACAATCGTCCTGCCACGCATTTCTATACAATATCATAGAACGTGTCTCCACACGGCGATCTTAACGCGGCGATGCGACAGGTGGTTGAGTGCGAGCAAAACGTCATTACATCGCTGCGAGCCTGTCGCTACTGGTGGCGCGCACGTCGCGCACTTGCCGCAGAACGTGGCGCTCTCGCAGAGAGCGCGCGACGTGCGTGACCATACATCAATAAAAACAATACATCCATAGTAAATAATTATTTTATTGACTGATTTAGGCACTACTTATTTCGGTCTCGTCTTGCACCACTGTACTCTAAATGAACACTGAACAAAATAAGAGCACAACGTGTCGTCAAAGAAACGCGGCGATTCCGTTACGAGTCGTTGCGGATACGCTGTGATTCCGTTACGAATCGCGACGATACGCTGGCGGAATAATCGCTCGTTCGTGGAGATTACCCGACGATAAAAACGCGGACTCGTCGCGATTCTCTCGCTTGTGGAGACGGCCCCTAATTTTCACACGTGTATATTCTTTTTATAACATATCTTCATAAGGATATGATTATCCTCATGTGTGATGTTTGAGATCAAAAATAAAATAAAACAATAAATATCGTGAACAAACCTTAGGTGACAGAATTGAACTTTTATTTCTTTTTCAGATTGGGTTCGGAATCACACAAATCGAAACAAGTACACAAATCGAAACCAGTATGGCGGGAACGATTCAACTTATTCCTATACGACGAAGACACGCTGGAAGTCACTGTATGGCATAAGGTGAAACAGAAAAACTTTATCGGAAGGTATGTTGAACTATCATTCAATATGTCGTTTATTGTAAAATCTGTTTGCGCTAAATCGGTGTCAAAGGATGACAATTCAATTTAACTTTGACATACGGCCGGTAAAGGTAGCATAGAGAATTAGATTGCATCTTTGATATTTTTATTTCATAGACAAGTAAGTGATCATGTCTGACACATGTCAATATTTGGATTTGAGACATGCGCATAGAAATTCGATTGGTGCACATCCGGATTTGAACTTCAGGGATGAGAGTCGCACGCTGAAGCCAGACTTACTTTCTCAACATATAAAAATCTAAAATAAGATTATTGTAGCTTAAACAGTCATCTATCTCTTATCGACACAATGGAAATACAATTTCACAGAAAGAGACAAAAGAATCCATATACAGAGACTGTTTTACGCATATCATTTACATAAATATACCTTTAATGAATGTAAATGTTTTTAAATATAACTTGGCCTTCGATTATACGGAAGTGATACACCGTTTAATTCTTTTTTATAAGACATTCTCAATAATAAGGCTTTACAAGATTCTGGTATTGCACAAGGTATATTTCGAGCCGCCCTTGAGCTATAGGACATGAGATGTATTTACTTTTTAACAAGATTTTGAATTAATAATCTAATATATAAAATTCTCGTGTCGCGGTGTTTGTGGTTAAACTCCTCCGAAACGGCTTGACCGATTTTCATGAAATTTTGTGTGCATATTGGGTATAACTGAGAATCGGACGTCCATTTTTCATCCCCCTAAATGTTAAGGGTATTCCACCCCTAATTTGGTTTTTTAATTTTTTTAAAAATACATACAACCCCTAATTTTCACCCCTCTACGATCAACCCCTATTTTTTATTGAACATGATATACATGGCAAAACGACGTTTGCCGGATCAGCTAGTATAATATATTATATGAAAGATATAATGATGTACAGTTTTAATTAATAAACGAGAAATATTGTCACTCCATCGATATTAACGTCGTCATTAGTGGATTGTGGGCGTTATGTGGGTAAAATGCGACAAAATAATGTTCGTACAATATTTAAATTAGATTGATTTAACACTACAAATAACACTTTAGCTTAAATTAAAACGAGCGGGCTTAGGGCACCGATCTCACTTTTAATCACAATCTACTAGACCCAACTTGTCCAATGTCTCATCTTTGCATCTTCTACCACATTTACCATGGAGAGTGTTCAGAGGAGTTGTTTGGACTAATGCCCGTAGCTGAGTTTCATCATCGGACGTCAAGGCAGAATACAAAATACCATCCGTATCACCTTGACGTTCGTCGTTCCACAACTGAGCGATTCTTAAGGCAATTTCTGCCGCGCACCACCACTATGTGGAACCAGCTGCCCACTGGTATTTCCGAACCAATTCGACTTAGGGTCCTTCAAGAAAAGAGCGTACCAATTCTTAAGCCTTCTGGCAGTGCGAGTGTCCATGGGCGGTAGTATAACTTCACATCAGGTGAGCCTCCTGCCCGTCTGCCTCCTTTGCTATAAAAAAAAAACAAAAAAACCACAATGCACCACAAACACTGACATATATATATAATATTAATACTTAAATATAAGTAATGACCTCATAAATTTCGTCGTGTGGTGTGTTAATAAGTTATATATTGTTCCCAACAATAAATGTATGTTAAATAGAATTCAAAAAGTAGGATGCATCCACGTAATTCATGATCATAATGAAGAATAACATCTACCTCAACGCACGATCTATGCATGTTTATTTATTTATAAGAACCTAAGAGTCAAGTGCAACAGATCCAGATCGTCGGCCCTGCAGATTGCACATTCTAGCCATTCCATTAAGGAAATGCCAACTTGACGTAAAATTAAAATTAATTGCAGCGCCATCTAGTGCAATTGGCAAATTCAATCATTGCGAAAACTCAGTAAAGTAACTCTGTAAGTTCTACCAGGGCAGTTGTTTTAGTTTTTTTGTCTTTAATGCATTGTCTCTTCACTGAGACATCGCGGAACATTACGATCTAGCCTAATTTAAGACTAATAGGTTATTCAAAACTAACCTAATTTACTAAAAACGATATTTAACATAAGAAAGTGTCCAATAACACTACTTACAGTCTATTAAGGGGAAGACACTCTGTTCTTGTGTATTATTTAGTAGTGATAGTAATACCGGGATTTAGGATTTGAGAGAGAGAAAAAAAAAGCTTTGTTATTTTTCTTTTTATTATTATTATTTTGTGTGTTTCGTTAGTAATAAATGCTATATCTAATAAATGATATATCTATGTCTATTTTGTGTGCATATGTGTAGTTCTTGCAATGTCCATCCGCTGAGGTCGGTACCACATTTCAACATTGAAGGTTGAAGGAAGGAATCACTTCATCAAAGAATGTAATAGAATATCTTTTACAGATGCGTCATCGACTTGTCGCAGTTGGAGAAGGAGAAGACCCACGAACTCTGGCAGGACATAGATTGTGGGTTCGGCTCTATTCACATGCTGGTCACGTTGAGCTGTTCTGATAGAAATTTACCCTTAGACAGTATCCCCTCATCAAACTGTATTCGACATGAACCGCCAGCTGATGATCAATTCGTAAGTATTACTCGTTGTGTTTATATTATTGAGTATTCAAAGGCCAGCAACGTACCCACTAAAATGAGTGACCATGGGCTCTGATGACTGCCCTTTTTGGGCGTCCAGAAGGCTTGTTTTACTCCCTATCCTATGTATAAAAAAAGAATAAGGAATTTAATTCTGCGTTTAATTTTTAAATTGAAAGATTTTTATATTCAGAACTTCTAATGCTTAGTTTCCATTTAATTGTCACTTAACATTTTTTTCTATATAACGTCTCTACAAAGCCAGCGTCACTATATAGTTTATACTATGGTTATATAATCTTTGTTTCTGTTACAACTTCAAACAATTTTCTACACGGCAACATTTATATACAAACAATTTCTAACAACATAAAATAACACACAACAACATAAAAGAATACAAGAAACAACAACTAGGAATAATAAATAGAAGTAATTCACGAATTAAAACACAAATCTATAATTTATTGTCAGTCATAAAGCACGTCAAACGTCTCTCAAAGACGCCAACTGTGTCAATTGTCACTTGTCAACGCAGGCGGGTTATTCAATAGTTGCGTAATTTGTACGAAGTTTTGGCAAGGGAATGTAGCATGATTGACTATAGTCGTATTTTTAATTAGACGAAGTCAACTGACGTTTACGGTGTTGTCAGTTTTTAATGAAATAAAAATAGTGTTGTGACAAAGTAAAACCCCTGAATTAATGATCGGTGATGGCACTAGGCGCCGCGCCGCGCTTTGTAATAAGCCGTCAAAAAACTGATTGTAGTTACATAGTACTAGTACCTAACTTATATCAGAGCACTTTTATACAATTTTGAAATAGAAATAATATTCTTTTATAGTTTGAAATGATTAACTATTCACACTCATAGTTCATTCATCTGATTGAACAAGAACTGAACGTATCACTATTACTTTAAATATGGCAAAATTATTTTACAAAGTGACATTAGCTACTGTCAGTTAGCTTCGTCTAATTAAAAATACGACTATAGTGATCCGACTACTGATGTTATTTCTTTTTGGTATAATAAGTATGAATATGGTTGTGTAGAACTTTATGTAAGCGAACATAGACAGATATTTGAACAATTTTTGGATGTCAAGTACACCAGTGTCACTAAATGTTCTTGCTGTTCTGTGATTGAACATCAAATAGTTAACGTTAGAGAAGGCAATAAACTTTGTATGATAGGTATACTACTAGTACGAGGTCTTTGGGCGTTTAAGCTCCCTATATACATTGCTGAGCAGTGTTGGTCTAGTGGCGTCAGTGTGCGACTCTCATCCTTGAGGTCGTAGGTTCGATCCCCGACTGCACCAATAGATTTACTATGTGCGCATTAACACTCGCTTGTACGGTGAAGGAAAACATCACTTAAACCCAAAATGTCAGACACAGAAGGTCAATAACCTTCTTGCATTATAATCACGGAACAGATATAGAAATTTGAAGCTCAGCCTTGCGATTCTATAACTCACTTTTCGAACTCTAACAGCGGTTTTCGCAGCGGCGGTCGCGATCAAATCAGTCGTGAAGCAGTCATTTTACGATTTGGCATTCTGATAAGGAGGGAGCTTGTAGTTTATTGTTTAGTATGAGAGTTCGAAAAGTGAGTTACAGAATCGCAAGGCTGACCTAAAAAGGTTGCACCATTGGTATATATAATGATACAAAAACTTCCGTAGAAGATTGAGAAAATCTTAATAAATCACATGTCATGACTTATTTTCAAGCGATCATTGTATAGAAGTTATTATGACAATTTTATGCGTTTTATATGATTACTTAATTGCATCTGTTCAACTAGGAAGGTTAAGCTTAAAGGTAATTATCTTATAATTGGCTATGACCTATTATAACAAAGTAAACGACACCAAATCCATCATTCATAGTGTAGGAAATGTTATTATTATTTATTTCCACATCATTATTCTATCTTGACAGTAACTACTAATGCGATAGAATGACACAATATTACCTACACCGTCTTCTTACATTTAAAATATAATATATAAAATTCTCGTGTCACAATGTTCATTCCTATACTCCTCCTGGGCCGTGGGGTTCAAGTGCACAGGCGCTAATTAAAGATTTAAATTGGCGCCTGGTATATAGTACCGGTGACCCTAGAGCTTGTGCTTTCCTCGCTCAACGAATAAGTATCGCAATACAGCGAGGAAATGCTGCCAGCGTTAAAGGTACACTGCCGCAAGGAACTTTTTAAATTTGTTTTAATTTCTTTTATAAAAATTTTTATTAATACTATGTAGCTAAGAAAATTGTACATACTGTATATTTATTATTATATTTTATTTATTTATAACATGCTGTTTCATATCTTGGTTCAAACTATGCTCAAAATAATATACTTACACGTATTTTAAATCTATATAATAAAAAGTACGCGAGCAGTCGAGTAGGCAAATCGAATGGATTTTTAAATTAACATAAAAACGCACACACACACACACACCCGCACACACATCTCAATCAATAATTACTAAATTGTCTTTGTTAGTACATAATGTTGAATCCGGATTGAGCATTCGATAAACGAGCTAAGTCTGGATAACCATTGTTGTACTGACACTGAAATAGATTTTCGTTTAGTTTTTATAGTTTAATTTAATTTTTTTATTATCTCTTCATGTGTGTTTTGTTTGCCTATACGTGCTTGTCACATTAAAAATTGTATTTTATTGATCTTGTACCAATGTCGATAAATAATGTTCTTCGTATATTAGTAATCCATTTTTTATAAAAATTGTAAGGAAATATCTTTTTGTTTACTTAATATTTATATAACATTGACATTTACTTTCGTAGTGTCCTTGCAAACATATCCTCATATACCTTTCTTAAAATCGTCAGTTATTTTTAAAAGGTCTCCCTCCGTGTTCTGTAGTGCAATTTATTTAAAATACAAATCGTTGACGACATGAAATCTGTAAGTATTTATCACATTTATTCACACTTTGCACGCAAGAAAAATATAAAGAGGGAGTTCGTTAAAGACTGACTGTGGCCACAGACTCTTTCAGGAAATTCGTGCTAAGATAAGTGCAACGTATACTTACTAATCCTAATCATAGCAACGTTATATATATATGACGAATGAAACTCAAATGTGTATTTTGAACAACATTTAGAGTTTACCATTTTACTTGAAAACAATCACTTTTATCCTATTTCTTCTATAATCTAAAATGTTCTTACAAATTCGAATTAAAATTTAAATGACAAGCCAAAACTAGCGTCTTTTCCACCAAAGTATTTCGATAAGTAATCCGTAATAGTAATAATATTTAAATCTTCAGTTTCTGGTTCACATAGTTGTTTCAAAATCAATATTTAATAAGACATATACTAGGTATTCCACAACTTTAGCGCTTTATTTATTATGTTCTTTGTCTCTGATATCTGCGAATCTCCACAGAGTAAAGGACTCGGCCACATTTTCTTTAAAATATTTAAAAGCCTCTTATCGCCATCATCGCTTAAATGCTTCGCAAGTTATCGCGTTTATGGATGCTACTTAACGTAGCTTCGTCTCGTGGCCGGGCCATAAAATTAAAAAAAAAAACGTATCGTATCGTACGATCCCCTAATACGAGGGCGGCACTGAAAATTTCGGGAATCAAGGAAGTGACACAACATTACTATTTAAAAATGTATTAACCCAAGTAACGCGAGCCGCTTTTTGCTCTTCACAGAGCGAATGCGGTATCCATCGGGAAAACAACTTTTTTACACCTAATTGTTCATGCAAGATTATCTGCGAAATTCAGGCAACTTTAGACATTGGTATGAGCAATGTCTAAAGTTGCCTGAATTTCGCAGTATGTCACATGTCGATCTTCCTCAATCAGCTTACGCACAGCATCAACGTTTTCTTGGGTGACTGCAGTTTTTGGACGACCTTGACGGGGACCATCACTGAGCTTGACACGTCCACGTTGAAATTCAGCAAACCAGCGATAAATTGTGTTTTTGGATGGGGATCACCAAATGCAGAAATCATCCGGTCCACACACTGCTTTTGTGATAAACCACTTCGAAAGTCATAATAAATTATCGCTCTTGAATTTTCTCGAGTCAATTCCATTTTCTCAACGACTAAACAAGTTTGACAAAACTTTGTGAAAAAACCGAGAATCTTTTTTAAAAAAAAAATGGTATTCGTTTAAAAAAAAAAGGAGTTTTTATATATATAATTAAAAAGATTTAAATATGACAGGAACAGTAGTATTATTCCATTCCCGATACTTTTAGAGCAGCCTATGTACCCGTTGCTTACAAGAGTCGCTAGTCATCCATGTTGTCATAGGTTTGATGCCCGCCTCTACAAATACTTTCAGTCAATGACCACATTCAATACCTGCCCGGCCAGTGTAAAGAGTATCCCCAGTGCTGTCATCCGCATAGCAATGAATGTTGCTAAGTTGCAACATATCATTGATATGCAGAAGAAACAGGGTCGGGGATGGAACACAGCCTAGTGGGACCCCAGCGTTCACGGGCTTAAGGTCGGAACATGTTCCGTCGATGACGACCTTGATGCTCCGATCGGCCAGAAAGCTGGAGATCCAATGGCATAATTTCTCGGGAAGCCCATAGGCTGGAAGCTTCGAGAGCATTGCTCTGTGCCACACCCGATCTAAGGCTTTCGCTATCTATTAGAAACGATCACGGAATAGATACAGAAATCTGAGGCCCAGGCCTAAAAAGGCGCCGTTGGTATGGTATAAATAATAATGTATGAAACAAATGTTTTAGTAGTCATGGTAATAATTCATAAAATATTCTTTCCTGTTTAAGCTAACTAGTTAATATGGAAAAATATTCTATGAGTGTATTGAATATAAAACAGTAAGAAAAGTAAACATTTACATCATTATTTATTTAAATCTCTTAACAGAGCTGTGTATATAAGGTTTATTGACAATTGTTTTATCTAATTCACACAAAAGATATAAAAATATCGTATATCAGAAATATCACGTCTGTATGTCTTAAACAAATTGAATTTTTACATACGATAGTCAAAGTTCGCGCGCTAGGGTAACTCGGTTTTGAAGTACTTCATTAAAATTCGTTTTTTGACGTGACGTCTAAGAAATCGATAAACGCTGGCTGGAAGCACGAAACGAAAAACCATAACTCATTGTCCCATTACGCTCATTGTACGCTTGCGCTCTCTTTCTCTCAATTGGCCTATGCGTCCGAGGATTCATTCCTTTGTATCCATACAAAATAATGATAATTCAATAAAAAATATTCAATTTTATTCATGAAACTGAAATTTTTATGATGTTGTCACGTTAGTATTTATTTTTGACGAACTTCTTGGAGAACTATAGTTAAGGAACTAAAAAGTATTTAGTTCCTTAACTATAGCAGCTGGCACGTTACAATTTTTCATTTTTTTTTCAGCAATGGTATCGCTTTGACAATGGTTGGAGTGAAGTCGGTCAATTGTCATTAACACTTCATGGCGCGAAAGGGTTAAGTGCCATGAACTTAAGCGGGAATGTCAACGCATACTGTATCCTCGAATTGGATAACGCAAGGGTACAAACCAATACGATTCGAGGCACTTCAGATCCGGAATGGGATAAAAGCTTTGTTTTGTAAGTATTTTATTGATATTTAAGTTTAAGGGAATAGATTTTAATTTATTTAAAACTATTCTAGATTCGCACGGCCTTATTTTTAAATATCACAACTCAATAGCCTATATTCGAGTACTATCATAAGGATTACATTAATTTTATGTTATTATATTTAATATCAGTACACGCCCTCCAACGAAGTGATGGCCACATCCAAATTCTTCTATCTCATATTTAAAAAAAATTAAAGTAGGTTGATTGACAAATTGTATATTTCCCGTAACTTAGCGCTAAATATCGACTCTGAATACAAATATTCCGCTTAAATGTTATTTAAATCTAAAACTATTGTCTCCTACCCAAATTATTAAAATCTAACCTATATGTTAATTTTTCGCCAGACAGTGTTAATTTGTTCGATTGCACCCTTTTTTGTCAATAAGCTAATTAAAGTATTGCACATTAGCACATTAAGGTGACATCTTAGTCACAGATAATGGAACAAAAGGAATAGATCATAAATATGTATAGTGTCACCATTTATTTCTTCATTGAAAAATAGATAATGATTTTAATTTAATAATGTATACATTTTAGCATATCAAGGTGACATTTCCCGTTTTTTAGTCTCGGTCACAGACTAGAAATGTACAAACTATTAATTTTTTTATGTTACTGGGTAGGGATAGGGTCAACTTAATAAATAAATAAATAAGTTAATTATAAATATAGATTAACACAGAACCTAACAATTATGTTAAATTTTGTTCTACATTATACTTGATATCAAAGGGACTTAGACGGTTTTGCTGCAGTGATGCCAACTAAGGGGTTTTCCCCCCAAATTTAGGGGAAACCAGATGTCCAGAATTGTTAAGGGATTTATATTAATCTTCGAACCCATACAAACTAAACTAAATATAAACTCCAAGTGTGAGTTAAGTTCGATAGCGGTTGTTGTAGATATGTTCAAATATATGTTAAATGAAACACTTTGTTAGAAGCTGGGCGTCAACTGGCTTAAGTTGTTTAGAACAAGAGCTTATAACGAAGATAACATTAGGGGTAGTGGGGTTGCGACACTGGATTACAAAAACATTATCGGAAACGAGAATGTTAAAATACAATTTAGTATATATAATTTGAGTGTGGTTAAAACTCAAGGGCTCATTTTGGCTTCAAGTGTGCGATGATTGTTTACATTTTCTCCACGCTTCTAATTATTAACTAAAATATATATATGTAACTTTACTAATGTTAGGTTAGGTTAGTTACTCGTGGCTATAACGAATAACGCATGATCGAAATAATAGCTCAACGATTTCTTCCAATTTTTATTCATATTTGAAATAACCTCTCAAGCCGAGTGTATAACAAAAAGTATAACAGTGTTATACACTCGGCGCTAATTAAAGATTTAAATTGGTAGATAGTATCGGTGACCCCTGAACTGGTGCTTTTCTCACTCAACGAATAAGTATCGCAATATAGCGAGGAAATGCTGCCAGCGTTAAAGGTACACTGCCACGGGGACTAAACTTTTTAAATTTGTTGTAATTTTCCATTTTTAATAATTATGATTGCTACTTTGTAGGTTAACGATATTTAAATGTTATTAAAAATAAATATTCATACTTTTTAATTGAATAATATTTAATAACAAATTCATGCGTCGAGCACAAGTAGTGTCTGGACGTTGTCATTTCGCATAATTTTTTAACATATATGTATATATTTTTTTATTGTAGTAATAAAATGTTAAGGGATAGCAAATGTTGGTAATTTAAAAAAATCTGTTAATTGTATAAAAGTTTTATAATATTTTTAGTTAAATATTTGGCCATAAATAACTTAAAATAAATTCTGACCGAGAGTTATGTAGCCTAGCTTTAGTTAATAATAATAGTTTTAGCTTTCGTTAGTTAGATATAAATATTTTAGTTAATAATTATAAACCTAAACAAAATGTAAACAATCATCGTACACTTGAAGCCAATATTGAGCCTTTTAGTTTTTACCACACTCATAAATTGTATTTTAACATTCTCGTTTCCGATAATGTCCAATAACATAAGTTATTTAGATTTGTGAACCCTTAGATAAGGCAAGTTAGGTTTTATTAGCGTCGCAAACTACCCGTAATGTTATGTTAGTTATAAGCTCATATTAAACCCGGCTCCAAAAGATAAACCACTCCTTATATGGAAATTGTATTCGTTTTTACAACAAACTCCCAAGCGAAATTAGAGAATTATCACTAAATAAATTCAAAGCCCTCGTTAAACGAAAATTAATCAATAAAGCTTTTTTTAAATTTGAGGAATACTTAAATCCTTGGGATTGAGTTTGAGTTTGAAACCATTAAAGTCAGTTGATGTGTTGGTTTAAACAAAGTGTTTTATTTGACCATATCCATACAAAAACTGCCACCAATCTTAATTCGAGTTTATTGTTTATTAGTGCATTCAAACGATTAAGCCACTAACACTCTTTGATAAGTAATTATTTCGTAAGTGTCTCAAGTAATCTAATTGATGAACAAAGGACATCAATCATTTACATTCAATTGCGGTTTGACCCACTAGAAATTAGTCTTGTTTCGTAATTATGTTGACGGTACATAGGCCGGGAGATAGTGACACAAAATAGTGGGTCATTTGTACCAATATGGCGGTTCTTCAGGGGTCTTATTAAACTGATTAGCCTGGTACAAATGGTAGATTTTTTTTTAAAATTAACGCATTCGCGTTGGTATGTCGGGCTGTAAGTCACACCGGAGAAGTATGGCATGACACTGCCGCCTCTTATTTTTTTATGGGCTATCGGAAAATACTAGAATATTTGTGGAACAAATCGTTTGACTTTCGTAATTAATCCGACGAGTTCGACTAACGCCCACGCGATTGGGCCACCGGTACCAGCGCTATGACCATCATTTTTATTTTTTTCATTGCGTAATAAGACAAGAACCGCCATACTGGTACAAATGACCCACTATTGTGTGTCACTCCCCCGGCCTAACATGATGGCGACCTGTGGAGTTTCTATAAAGTTATACTATATGTACGAGTCTTAGCGCTAAGTATGGCTAGCGTCCAGTGATACGTTTTTGATATACTTCACTAATAATAATAATATTTAACTTTTTAAAAGATGACTTAAAAAAACAGACCCGAGCTGTAACGCTTTTGGCTCTAGTCGTCGCACAGTGGTTGGAAATCCCAAAAAGCTGGCCAAAATATGAAGATGTCATTGTAATTCCATGAATTTTGGCAAATGATTTTTTTTTTCGAGGATTTTCCTAAAATTTGGAAAACATAATCCGTATATGTTATACGGGATTGCTATGTTCTAGGTATGTGCTCCGGGCATGTTGAAATGTGTCTGTATCTGGTGATTACCTTTGACATTAATTTTCTTTCTACTATATCTATAAGCTTGATTTTGTTCCCTTTTGGAGTAGCGTAGTAGTAGCTTGGGCCGTGTGGTTCAAGTGCACAGCTAATTAAAGATTTGAGACTGCCTTGTAGATAGTACCGGTGACCCCAGAGCTGGTGCTTTCCTTCGTGCACCTTATTTTAATATAGTGTGTGTGTGTGCGCGCATTTGTGTAAACTTTTATTTTATTTTCAGTCCTATTAAGGATATAACATCTACAATCGACATAGCAGTCCACGAGGAGTCATTAATTCAGTCAATGAAGGGTGAAACGTTGGGTAAAATATCAATACCATTGTTGAGAATAAATAATAATGAGAAGAGATGGTATGCCCTCAAAAATAGATCTAAAAAGAGCAGTGCGAGAGGGAATTGTCCCAGGATTTTATTGGAAATGTCCATTGTATGGAATCCGGTATGTTAAATCACTAATTAATTCATTTATTTTGTTTCGTAGCAGGTATTTTTTATTTGGAATAAAATTAATAATAAATAAACAATATTGCAGTCAATGTACGATTAAAATTTTAATAAATTTATTTTTGATACAATCAGAAAACTAAAAAATATGTTTTTACTTTGAATTAAAATATCGTTTAAAAACACGGTTTTAAATCTTTTTTCTATATTATTAAATATTTTTTCAGATTAAAGCGTCTATGCGTCTATTGAGACCAAAAGAAACGAAATATATACAAAAACCGCCTAAGTTTGATATTCCACTTATTTATAGTAATTTAATATTTATTAAACATATATTTAAAGTATTTCAAATGGGAAATGATCATTTCAAGTAAGTATATTTATTAAAATATCTTATTTAGGATATAGTAACATTATATTTAGTGAAGATATACAATTCTCACTTATAATACCACAAGAGCTTCAAAATTATCGGGTATTTCCCGATAGGTTCGTTGCAAACAAATGAAGGAGTCAAGTTTTTCAGGTTAAAAAATCACGATTTTTTCGTGATTTTTTAACCTGACGACTTTATTTGTTTGCAGGGAACCTTGAGGGAAATGCCAGATAATTTTGAAGCTCGTGTGGTATTCGGGGGATTATTTTTCCGACCCAAATGTCGGCCAATAGAATTGCACCATGAGACGAAATGTACAGTTAACAAATAAGAATTTCATAATGAATAAAACAACTACTTAATACTTTTCTTGAAGCAACTACCAGAGAAAATTTTCAAAAAATTATCAGTATAATACCATGTAGGTTGTACCACGTGACGTCGAATGGTGCAATTCTATTGGTCGATATTTGGGCCGGAAAAATAATCAACTAAATTAGCAATTTCACAGCCGGCCCATTTTTCTACGGATGTACCAAGATTCAAAGTCGAAGTCAATTATTTGTTAATTCTCATTTGGTTTTGTAACTTTTATAAGGCTAAGTAAAATAAAATTAATCAATATTTATTTAATACTTATTACACAGTTCTTAAGTAAAAGCGAGAAGAACAGCCTTGCGATTCTGTAACTCACTTTTCGAACTCTCACAGCGGTTTTCGCATCGGCGGTCGCTCTCAAATCAGTCATGAAGCAGTCATTTTATGATTTGGCATTCTGATAAACAATAAACTACAAGCACCTTATAAGTTACAGAATCGCAAGGCTGGTAAGAAGCTGCCGCTCTTTCGGTCTCGGTAAATTTATCAAAGGCTTTGACCGATAACGGCTGCTAAACCGAATTGTCAAATTTCAATTGTTCAAAGTTTTTTTGAAATGACATAAAAGTTGAGCATGACGAACTTGGCTCTGTACTTTGTAGCAAACAACGTCTATGGTGAGAGAACGTCGAGGCTAATAAATGGACTACCCGGTCTGTTATAAGATAGCCTAACATCAACCAACATATTTTTTTTATATATAACAGGGGGCAGGGGGCGCACCTGATGTTAAGTGACACCGCCGCCCATAGACACACACATTGCCAGAGGGCTCGCAAATGCGGTGCCGGCAAGTTGAAGAATTATTTATTTATATTTGTGGCGCTCCTAACAAAACTGCTATTGTTATATTAATACAAACCACAGTGGTTTAAATGTAATATACTATGATTTAGAAAACATATAAACTATATATTTATGAATGCACAACAAAGAAGAACAAGAAGAACAATAACTAACTTTAAAATATAATAAGTAAAATATATTATTAAAAGGAGTCCCCTTAGGCAAGGTTCCAAAGATACTGGCAGCGTATCCCCTTTGAATAGCTAGACTAATTCTTTGTCCGAGGTAGCTGCCAGCCTTGCGATTCTGTAACTAACTTTTCGAACTCGCACAGGCATTCTAATAAACAATATGCTTCAAGTTCCCTCCTTATCAGAATGCCAAATCGTAAAATGACTGCTTCACGGCTGATTTGAGCGCGACGGCCGCTGCGAAAACCGCTGTGCGAGTTCGAAAAGTGAGTTACAGAATCGCAAGGCAGCTCTTCGGTCTCCTGTGATTTCGACTTACCTTTTTGATATATAATAAGCCTTATAGCGCTAGGACCCCACGGAAGATTAGATTCAGAATGTATTATTTTGTAAATAGCAAAATTAAATTTGTTTTAGGAGAGTATTCGAATGGGAGAACCAAGAGTTATCAGCAATGGCGCTTGGGGGCTGGCTGATGTTCTGGTATTTCTTCAGATTGTGGATGACTCCGCTAATACTCCTATTACCATTTATACATTACTGGCTTGTACGAAGAAGTAAGTAAAGCTTTCGGCCTTAGTCAATGAATATGTTTTTCATTTAGTAACTTTGTACACTTATCAAATTGTAAACAGTTTCTGAAATAGGGCCGTAGAACGGAAGAGAAGAACTGGCAAGAGACTTTCCACTATTCTTCATCTTTTACACGTGACTTTTATTTTTATGTAAGTTTTTCGAATGTTCAAAGCTTTGGCGGATGTTTCCTTTACTCGATTTCAGAGTAAATATACGAAATCGTTAAAACATCACCCCTAACCCCCCCTCGAAATAAAAGGGGTATGAATAATGATGAAAATGTAGGACATTTAAGAGTTTACCAAAATCTAAAACTAAAACAAACATGACTTTATAACTCCTAGATGGGGCAGAGGGCGTCCACAGTGAGTCTCCATCGCGTTCGGTCTTGAACTTATATTTCTCCGCGCTCCAAGTCTTTCCGGCTCTCTGCCCCATCTGCAAATGTTCGCCGCCAAGTTTCTTGCGGGTTCCAATCCAGCGCCTGCTTTCCCAAGCATATTCCCATATGAGATCTCTTCGGAGGTGTCTATCCATTTGACTAAAACAAAGCAACCTAAAACTGTAGTTTAAATATATTCAAGTAATAATTTTACAATACTGTGTTTATGAAAGGTTTAACTCAGAACTCCATGCTTCTAGGTCATAACGGTTAACCGTTTGTTTTCTGACCTACTCAATATGTCAATATTAACCGGCTATATATTTGTATGAGTTTAAATATTCGAGCTTTTTAAAACAATTAAAGTGAAAGGCCATAGAAGGCTCATCGCTTATTTTATTAAAGTCTTCTTTCAGTGGCGTAACTACCATCTGCCCGTGGCAATTTTTTTTGATGGGAGCCTATCAGTAAAAATCGTCCCTACTTAGTTTAATTTTAATAAACTTCGTTTTTTAGCGTACTCAATTACACGTTGTGTATGTCCCACTAATCGCCATAGGCCTCATCTCAGGCGAGAGGGAATTGTATGTAGTCCTCACGCTAGCCCAATGCGTATTGGAGATTTCACATTCATCCATAGAACATAATATCTCTTGGGCAGGGGTCTTGGGTCGGGGGCCCTTGGCATTTTGCCAGCCCCGCCACCCTATTGTTACGCCACTGTCTCCATATCGTTCCAATATTCTTGAATTAAAGAATGCTTAAATAAATTAAAAAGTTAAGTCCCTGTAACGCTGGCAGCATTTCCTCACTGTATTGCGATACTTTTACGTTGAGCGAGGAAACCAGTTCTGGGGTCACTGCAATCAGGCGCCAACTTAAATCTTTAATAATCTGTGCACTTGAACCCCACGGCCCAAGAGAAACTCCAAAAGGAACAAAATCAAAGTTGGAGGACAGTGTGTCTATTGGCTATTTCTACTAAATCTATATATATAAAAGGAAAATGGTCTTCGTTTGAGGCTCGTTCACGCCTAAACCACTGATCGTTGCCTCGGCCTCCACCCTCTGTCTTCTTTGCCGATGAGTAGAGATGTCTACCGATTCAAATTTAATGACGTGGAATAAGTGATACCTGTATCTTATATTCCATAATATTTTATTTACTTTTTTATTTATTTTATATTTTTCATCCAGATACCCCAGTTCCTTTGTGCCAGACAGCTGATGATGACGATTCGGACGACGAAACGGAAACACAAAAGGTAATTAGTAAAACATTACAAGTGCGGAAGCGTGAGTGCATTGTCTTGTAACACTTGAATAGGAAATTTTTAAACGACTTTTTGTGTTGAATAACATAAAGAGCGTACAGTACCGGCAAACATCTTGAACAAATGTCCTTGCCTGCGCATGGGCGTTCGATCGCGTGATTGGTAAATCAGTTGACGTTTGTGTCCCGCGCTGTGTACGATGCGCAAACTTTCCCCCACTCCCTTGTTTAATTCTCAAGAAGTTTGCCGGTATCTGTACCAATTTTTTAAAGGCCGGCAATGCACTTGCGAAACTTCTGGTAATGTCCGTCCAAGAGCGAGGTATCACTTAACATTAAGAGAGCCTTCTGCCCCCTGTTATATAAAAAACTATAAACTATTTTTGTAAAGATTTTTATCTTGTTACGCCAAAAAAGTATAACTTCTAACGCGTGTACAATAAGTACACACACTTTTTTTTTTAAATTTGTTTTAATTACTATTATTACTATGTAGGTTAAGAAAATTATAATTACATTTTATATACTTATTATTATATAATTACGAGTAATTTATTATCGCATTTACAGGATGACAAAACAATCAAAACGAGAATAAATGAGTTACAGGATCTGACACTAACTATTAAGAACGGGATTGATTATATCGTGTCGCTTTTGGAGAGGTTACACAAGTAAGTACATTTTACATTACACGTCTAACAACTGACACCATTATGGTAAATAAACGGTAATTTCATGGATTTCCATTTTGTTCCCTTTGGAGTAGACTCTTGGGCCGTGGGGTTGAAGTTCACAGGTGCTATTTAAAGAATTAAGTTGGCGCCTGGTATGTAGTATCGGTGACCCCAGAGTTGGTGATTTTCTTGTTAAAATAATTATAATATTTAAAAAACCTAGTCAGCCTTCATAAAAAATAAATAAATCCGCTCTACAACCTTTTTAGGTCTGGACCCTAGATTTTTGTATCTGTTTCAAGATAATTGTCAATCTAATAGGCAGGTCACCCTTCTGTATCTGTCACGCCGTCGACTTGAGTCCATGGCAAGGTTTCCTCACGATGTTTATCTTTACCGTACTATCAAACAAAACCCATTGATGCAGACGTTATTCAGGTTACATTTACAACGAAAGAAGATTTGCCAGGGGCCCCAGATGGCCCCAGATGGATGGTGGATAGTTACGCCACTGCCCCCCCCACCCCCCCTCTCTTGTCAGCTAAAGTAAGCAAACCTCTCAAATTATTTTTGAGAGATTTGTTGCAGTACCTAAGCGTTTGAATTTTTTGTAGGAATCCTCGAAAATGCATTTCGTTTGTAAGCATATACAATGTGTGGATAATACTTATGTGTAATTTTTATTAATCTAAGACCCCTCCTCCTATAGTGCTAACGTAATACTTGAACTACCCTATACGTTGTGGTATGAAATGGCTGCCTGGAAGAGATCGCTCGAAAGCGATAAGGCCGCCCTCCTTTTCATTTAATTATGTCAATTGAATTCAATATATTATATATTGTAAGTCAATTGGATGTTTCTACAACGAAGTGTTAATAAAAAAAAAAAATGTGTGCGTGTACTAGGTGTACACACGTAAGAAGTGAAACTTATATAAAACCTTTGTTGTACGCAGAGCCATAATTGGTTTGTTTTAAGTTTAGAGGTCCGAAACTATTTCTTTAAACAAAGTAAATTTTGATACACTGCCTAGCATACAATTTAAAAAATAATTGCTGCAAATTGCGATTAGCAAATTTCAAGTCGAAAATGTAATCCGTTGTCAAACTTCAAAGTCAAAAACATACTATATGTCATATTTTAACGCCGATAAAGAAGTTTGACTTCGAAAATGTAATCCGTTGTCAAACTTCAAAAAGCAACATAGCGCGTAACGGAAAAATGTGACGCGTAACGCAAAAATGTTACACTAAATTTTTTTCCAACCCCGATAAAGAAGTTTCACTTCAATAATTACCCAGTCCAATTGTGATATTCCTGACGTTTTTGTATCAAAATAAATATGTATCATTCTATTAATGCGTCTATTAATGCATGTACCATATTTTTGCAAATAACTGCGTGAAACATTAAAATTAATAATGTGTAATTATGTAACATATATGTAAACTTTTTTTTCATTATGTGCGGCAAAATATTCGAACTTTAGATTATTACACCATAACATTTTCGTACCATATTCTTGCAAATTAATTATTATTATGAAATCTTTGTTTCAGTTTGGTAAATTTCAGTGTCCCGTATATAAGTTACTTATTCATGCTCGCGCTGGTTGGGGCCTCTATCGCCTTCCTGCTGATACCGGTGAATTATTTGTTCATGGCTTTTGGTAAGTTCTCGAAGCATTTTTTTGGAATTTTCCTTTTTCATTGTGATCAGATTATTTTAACTGACTTCTGTGCTAAAGTTAGGTGACGGTGGTGATGCAATTAGTACAATTATGGCACGCCATTATGTACCATATTTTTGCAAATAAATTATTATTGTTTAGTACGTGTTACATACACAGTTTACAAACCCTGAACATCCGCTGCCCATGAAGTATTTCTGAACTAATTCGACTTAGAGTCTTTCAAGAAGATAGCGTACCAATTCTTAATAGGTAACGCACTTGCGAGCCTTCTGGCAGTAAGTGGTGGCATCACTAAACATCATATTTCTTGTTTGTCGTTCTTTTTATATCATATTAAGTGATACCAGCCCAAGGACACTTACTGGCAGAAGGCTCCCAAGTGTGTTGCTGGCCTTTTAGGAAAAAATCTATACTAAATCACCAATAATTTCAAATCGCTGAAAACCCAAAACAAAAGTTTAATATAAATATATATTGCAGGTATTTATAAATTTGGTCGCAAGTTTATAAACCCAAAAAGAGTGCCGAATAACGATATTTTGGACTTTATATCGCGGGTGCCTGATAATCAGATGTTGGTAAGTAGTGATTACTTCTAATTATACCGCCCTCAGCAGTGGCAACAAATTTGCCGCCCTTGCCTCTTCAATTCTCTTGCCCTATGGTTTTTTGATAATGCAACAGTTTCGTTGTACGTAAAATATATTTTTTGTTTGATTTTTGAGTACAAAATTATACACAAACCATCCAGATCCTGCCACCAATAGTAGGACTGACATGTGTAGGTTGGAAGAGAGAAGAGGGAAATACACTTTCTGCAATTTCGCTCTTTTCACTCATACAAAGTGAGCTGAAGGTGCAGGGTCGATTACAGGTTGGGTAAAATTTGTTGGAGACTTTTATCTGCAAACATCAAAAAACCGTCATGCACTTCTATGAGCAAAAAAATCTGTTCCCAAATTTGCCGCCCTAAACATCTGTGGCTCTAGGCTCCAGTCTACTCAGCCTGCTGGTAAATCCGCGACTAACTCTAAGAAAGTAAAGGGACGGGCTTCGCGAGACGGCGGACCCCACTCGCCAATAATAATAATGTATTTATTTAAGCAGAGAATTTATAAGTCCATATGGTAATTGTATTAGTTACAATATTGTTCCAAATATTATATTAGTTAGCTTTAAAGCAAATTACATCATATAATTAAAAAGGGCACATGTAGTCCATTGCTATAGGCTAGCCTCTATAAGCTCTCACTTCAGGTTTGACTGTAATAACATAAACCTAATGTAATCCTTATCATAGTACTTGAATATTTGTTACCTTATCTGCTTATCTGCTACTTTGAATGGTCCAGCGAATAGGCTATCTTGCTCTTACAACTTGATTACTTACATCGATGAAAATATTGATGTGTTTTACAACAGTCTTCCAACTTACCGCTTTGTTTATCATGCTCTTAATGAGCAGTGTTGGGCTAGTGGCTTCAGCGTGCGACTCTCATCCCTGAGGTCGAGGTTCGATGCCCGGCTGTGCACCAATGGACTTTCTGTCTATGTGCGCATTTAACATTCGGTCGATCGGTGAAGGATAATATCGTGAGGAAACCGACTACTTGCCTATTAGATTGAAAAATGATCATGAAACAGATTCAGAAATCTGAAACCCAGACCTAAAGAAGTTGTAGCGCCACTGATTTTTTTTTCTTAATGAGGTTTATGTTTCATTTAGTTTTGGTTATTATCGTTATTTTTTATCTTTATCTTTTTAGTTTTTGTGGTTGTTTGTTTAATTTTTTCCTTTGATAGATTGCTTATGTTCAAATGTAATTTTTTAAATTTGTGATATCATATTTTCTTGTATTTTTCAGGCACACAACTTGTTTTAGAACGCATAAATAAATATAGCTGTCTCTCGATATTAAATATAGTTTCTCTTTACAGAAACAATGGCGCGAGCTGAAGGTTCCTGAAGCAGCAGAAGGTCCGTCAGACCCGGAAAAGAGACGATAGCACAAAAACGTGCAAACGTCTGCATTTATTTACGCTCATTCCCATCCTACTAACGTAGTGCCATAGAGGAGATGACGTTTCATAGACTGCTAAATGGGTCATAGAGAATATTTATGATACAATATCTGAATGCTGTGATATAAACTTCCTGTACCACTTATAAAATTACTAAGCAATAGTAATTATAATTAAGATCAAAAAATTTTGATAATAATTATATTTATATATATTACATGATGTATGAGGATATGGTAAAGTTTAATGATAATATGTTAATATAATTATTTATATGTGTAAAAATAGCATTTATGGTGCTGTTTATTATCTGTTAGGGACTAAACACACTTAATCAGCTCCATTCGCGTTTCGCTGAACGATTTTGGTCACATTTATACAGCTCTGCTTCTATCAGCCGTGTACGGCGTCGTAAGAAGGAGAAAAGCCATCACAGCGTGCGACGTTGAATGCGGCGGAACAGCGCTGAACGCATTCTATAGCAGACGCATGATAAAAACACATTTATCCTCATTTTATACTGATTTGCCGCGAAAGCAGAATTGACGCGGAAAGCTGAATGGATGCGTACGCGTCTCCATACAAAATCGTTGTTTTCTATCGACAAACGCTGAATAGAGCTGAATAAGTGTGAGTAGACCCTTATTCGCATTTCGCGCCATTTAAAGAACACGTTCATTACTGACAGCTGTCAATTTGAAGAATTGAATGGGTTCTAGTGTCAATTTGTTTTGATTAGTTAATCTATAAAAATTTAAATTGCCAATAATTATTATTTATTAATGTATCTAGAGTGTAGACAAGTTTTGCTCAATTCCTTGTCATTGTTACTAAAACATTGTGATCGTAGTTAAGTATTTTTAAGTAAGTTTAAAAAATACCTCAGACCTCCGCTGGTAACTTCGGGTGATATGGTTGAATAAATTTAATAAAAAATGCTTTAATAATATATTTTAATGGAAAATTCGTGTGTTTACATACATGAGCATATTTTAATATCTTAATAAATTAGATTTATTAACATAAATTAATAATTAAATCGAAGAAAGATTACCATTGATTATTACACAGGGAACAAAACAAATAAACATTGGGATTGGGATTGGGAATGGACATTTTCTGTCGTTAAAAAGAGTTATATAACAAACAGAGTTGGGTCCTAGACAAATATGCTTAGCGACAGGCGTGACTCTTCAACGTTATTCGAATTCGTGTAGACGCGGTCACGTGACTGGACCCACCGCAAAGTATGTTCGTCTTAAGTAAACATAAATCTTACAGTTTGATATTATCACTATAATATCACATATGTTACCGTATAAATACAAATAATTAGCGGAGGTCGCAAATGGTATGCCTCAAATTGAGGTGCTGACAGATCTTGCCTGATATCTAGAATTATCCTCCTGTGGTTTCGGTATGTGTAACTCCTTCCAATCTTTCTGTAATTAAATGATTATTTTTGATTTTTTTGTTTAATTTAATCACTATTATTCCAACTGGGTCAGTATGAATTAGTACCTATGGGGTAGCATACATATTCCATATGTTGGTATTACTAAAAAGGATAAATAATAAAAAAATATCAAGGCAAAACGAAGTTCGCGTGGGCAGCTAAAATAATATTTAAATTTAGAAATATAATAAATAAATCTGATTCGCTCGTATCTCAAAGCCAATTTAAATTAATTGAAATGCCACCAATTCAGCACTCAAAACACCACCTCGGTTGTTTTTGCTTAAGTGTTTTTAAATAAGAAAATGATTTCACGCTTTAATTCAATAGCCCTTCGGACCTATGGTTATAAAAATAAATGTGATAATGTTTTGTAATTGTACAAAAAGCAAAAAACGCAAAGCCAATTATCAAAAATGCTTCGAAAACGAGGGAAACAAGCAAACAGTCTGAGGGCTCATGTTGGTGTCATGTGTAGCGATGTAAAGTACGATTCCTCATATCTTACAATTCGCTCCAACCAGGTCCCAGAAGATACACCATTCCTTATATGGAAATTGTATTGATTTTAACAACAAACTTCCAAGCGAAATTAGAGAATTATCATTGAATAAATTCAAATCTAAATTAATCAATAAAGCTTTTTATAAATTTTACGAATATTTAAATGATCCTAATCATTGGGATTGATTTGCTTTAGTTTAAACACTTTGTATAACACACAACTTAGCGATTAAAGAGTGGCGGAGAGTTTCTTGCCAGTTCTGCTTGCTCGGTCTACGCCCTAGACTTGCGAACTGGTAGTAAATGTAAATTTAGAATCAATGTAACATCTTGTCTCCTGACGTTCATAAGTGTACTCGTTTACCTATATGAATAAAGTTAGTTTGAGTTTGCTCTTATTTCATTTTTTTTATTACCACTACCTACCACATAGCGATCACGACCGCTCTGTCAAGAGTGTACCGGATAAGAAGAATAATATCGATGTACCACTGTACTGAAAACATAATATTACATACCAATATTGCGTCATCAGGTATTCTTGAGAAGAAATACAATAAATCGTTGTTTAAAACTCGATTCGGATATAAGTATTTCCTTGTGAATTTCATTACACCTGCAATTTATTGATTAATACTTTAAACCATTATATTAGAAACGCCACGAGAGGCGACCCTTGACTCAAGTGCTCATCCAAGGCTGTTCCGCCATACATCGATCAGAAGTAATTTTCTTTTTTCTCCGAATTTGGTTAAGACAAGCACAAAACGTTACCGTGTTATACATACAATATAATACCAACAAAAACAAAACTTGCAAAAAAAACAAGTCTTACAACTCAGTTCTTCTATCAAGTCGGTTAATTTATTCAGCACTTAAGGGATGTTCTGTCTTAAGTTACTACGTAAGCTAACCTATAACAACAAATTAAAGTGACCATATCAATATTGCAAATCTTTTATATTTTAAATAAGTACATTGACTTGGCCATCGCATGGACACACAAGTAACACATGTTATTATTAAATAAGATTGTTTAGTGATTTACTTATAAAACTAAACGACAGTTCTAAATTTGTGTATTATATGTCTGCTTCTGTCGATCATCAAAACTCTAAAGCAGAAGTGTCGGACAGTCAGTGAGTGAGTGACAAAATTAAAATAAATTTTACTAGTTAATTCTGAAACTTGTTTCTAATTAAATTTAATTTAAAACTGCTTGCCTCTAATTTTATCCACAACGAAGTTAAAGAGGTCGAAAATGGCCTGAAATGCTTCGAGAAAAGGATGGTCGTGCCGCTGTTTTCCTCGACTTGGCGGTATAAAGTTAATAAAGCAAGTTAATGTACAATTTTGCTTACCAAAAGCCATCATGATGTATCTGTATGGTATAAGATAAAGACCAAAAGTCGCCCCAAGCAGTAGACATATCGCAACGTAGCTAATAAATGGTACCTTGAAGCTGACTAAGCTGAAAATATAAATTAGCTGTGCTCTTATAATTTTCGGAAACGTAATCCGATCGGAAAGGTACCTGGTACACACTACAATTTAAGAATTTGTCTAATATTAACGTCGAGGCTAAAACTTATTGACGATTAAATTATACTATGTGCTCTGTAGCATGTGTGTGACAGTTGCTTATGATTTCTTTCAATTTGATTTTATTTGTAGACTAGAACATTCTGGCTGGGTTAAATTTAAGTTACTGCAGTTATTAATGATTTAATATACGTATTAAGAATGTGGTACATAGAAAAAAACACCTTTTTAACGGATTTGAAGTTATGTTTTATTATAAATTTACAATTATTTTAAATTTAACCAAAGTTTCGCGTGCTTTACAGCGTGCGTGGTCACTGTGACTGAAGACTAAACGTGTTGAATGTCAAAAAGTATCACAGCTGTAGAAAAAGTTGTGTTATCTGTATTTATTTCCCCGGAGTTGGTATCGAATGTGGTACAGTTGAAATACAAAGTCATAATTTGTAAATGTCGGCAACTTTTAAGAGTGAAACGAAACTGTCACCCCCAACATGCTACAGCGCACATACTATAGTAAATTATACTGAGTTTTTTTTATTTATAACAGAGAACACACAACAACACAAAAAACAATACAAGTGTGTTCAATGACAAGTGTGCACAATATTAAAAGCAAAACGTTATAGTTCTAAAAGAGAAAATAAACAATTCAATAAAAATATACTCTTGGGCTTTAGGTTCAAGTGCGCAGGCGCTTATTAAAGATTTAAGACCCCAGAGCTGGTTCTTTCCTCGCTCTACGAATAAGTATCGCAGCGAGATGCCAGCATTAAAGATGCGACAGGGACCAAACTTTTTAAATTTTGTTAAATGTTCTATTTATCATTTTTTAATTATTATTATTATTACTATGTAAGATTACGAGCAGTGTTGGCTTTAGCGTGCGACTTTCATCCCTGAGGTCGTAAGGTTCGATCCCCGGCTGTGCACTAATGGACTTTCTTTCTATGTGCGTATTTAACATTCGCTCCAACGGTGACGGAAAACATCGTGAGGAAACCGGCCTTAGACCAAAAGACGACGGCTGCCTATTTGATTGACAAATGATCATGAAACAGCTACAGTAATCTGAGGGCCAGACCTAAAAAGGTCTACAACCTTCTCCGTCACTGATTTATTATTTTATGTAGGATAAGAAAATTGTAAATACTGTTTACTTGTGTGTTGAAAATAAATATATAAATCATCTTAATAATAATAAATTATAATAAACTAAAATTAGAAATTTAGTGAATTCTAATGCAAACTGAAGCAGATACTTTTGACGACTCATTGGTCTAGTGGTTAGTACCCCTGACTGCGAATCCATGGGACCCGGGTTCGATCCCCGGCTGAGACGAACATCGATATGATGAAGATTTGGTGTTGTGCTTAGGTCTTGGGTGTTTAAATATGTATTTATATGCCTATATATCTATAATATGTATGTATATCCGTTGCCTAGTACCCATAACACAAGCTTTACCAGCTTAGCATGGGACTAGGTCAATTGGTGAAAATTGTCTTTATGAAAATAATAAATAACCTGGAAGTAGTGCGTACGTCAGAGCGCTTTGTGACTTATTAGATTTCCATAATATGGTTAACTTTTTATGGTCAGATTATTTTTATATTCATATGATAATTTATAAATTATTATATGAATATAAAAATTATAATAATGGTTTCTTCTACCTCATACTAACGAAATTTCATATTGAAATCAGAAAATATTATGTATCATTCTTACTTTTGAGCTCTTTCAGCGTAGGAAGCAATCATTTCAATTCCTTTTGTGACTGTTATAGTAACTTGCGGTATTTCATTGATTTTAACTCGACTCATCAGACCTTTGTCGCTCTCATCCTGAAAGATACAAGTTTTAAAAAACTATTTTGTGTTAGATTTTTATGATAAAGATCTGAAAAATGTATTTCCGTTCCATAATCTTGAAGGCACTATTAAAATATGAAATACTCGATCATGAATGAATTTACTTTTTTTGTTTTTTTAATTTCTTTATTTAACAAAAATATATAATACAATCACAATATGTTACAATAGAAAACCGCTGTGGTTTGTATTAATGTAATCATAGTCTTGTTTAGGAGCGCGACAAATGCATATAAAAGTAGATTTTTAATTTGCTGTTTATGTTGGTTGGCGTTAAGCAATCTAATATGTGATTGGGTAGACCAGACAATGTATTAGCCGCGGTAGCAAATACCTCAACGTTCTCTCGCCGTATACGTTGTTGGCTCTAGATGTACAGAGCCGAACTTGCGTTACCGCTCGGGTCTGTACGTCATGCTCCACTCGTTTTTTAATGTCATCTCGAAAAAAGTGCTCGACTAGAAGACATTTATTAACTTTTTCTGATATGGGCAATATTTTGCAGTGTTTGAAAATTCCTCTTTCTTCATTTTTATATGAGTCGAGCACATTTCTCGAGACAACGTGTTTGAGGATTCGCATTTGGAGGTTATATATTAGGTTGAGATACGATGGGTAAGTTCCACCGTAGCTACTTAGACCGTAATTGATGACTGACTCGCAAAGCGCGTTGAAAGTGAATGTTTGGTTTTAAAGCTTATCATTGTCTGACCACAGATGCGAAACCAAATATATACAAACGAGATACACTTCGCCATCTGACAGCCGTCCCATTTTGAGTCTACTATGCTCATTCCGATATGTATCTTTAATGCCCTTTTCAATCGGTTAAACGCGCTAATATTATGAATTTTAGACGGTAATTGATTAAATATTTGCACACCCTCATACTCAATAGACTTCTTCAAATAATTTGTACGCGGCTTTGGCAAGATAAGCAAACACGCTCGACGAGTATTGCATGTAATGGTGTGTTTGATTTTTTTAAATGATAAGCTACTATGGAGAGAGTTATTTAATCAGAATTGATATCATTAGATAATTGATATCTGTATAGTGAAAAGCATACATATAATAATGAATTGTTTTTACTCAAATTTACGAAAGTAACGAGTATACTATTGAGAAAGTAAAATAACGAGGAAAGAATATCTCTATCTGTGCTTATTTATTTATTTATTTATTAGTAATCTTACAGCTAACATACATATTATAAAACAAAACACATAGACAATATAGAAAGCCAAAACAGATTACATAGATAAACAATATATATATATATAAATATAAAACAGAAAACATAAGTAAGTACAAAACGTAAAAAAAATTAACGCAAATTGAAACTTAAAACGATAAACGATTCAAAGAAAAACTAGAGTGTTACTGCTTAAACAAAATCAAAGTCTTCCCGCCTATTCAAATGTTTCCTCACATCCTCTTTTAGATTATTCGCAAATTCAAGCGCAAAACGCGTAAGAGTAGATTGATGTTGTAAAATCCAGTGTATTCTCCTAATGTAGGAATGTGTAAAAATTACTGGTTGGTTTTAAAATTTTATTTTATTTAAAAATACATTGAGAATTTGGACATAGAAACATACGCTTGACGCCCTGGGGACCTATATGCCATACCTTTATATTATTATTCATGTCCAAGTCATCTTCGTTGAATGATTCTCGTGCAACAAGTACGTTATCTAGAATAAATTTGATGTTATAATGTCTAACTAGTAAGATGGCAAAGTACTTAAAATACTAAAAAATTATTAGACCAAATCGTTAATATTTTTTATTAGTTCTTAAAATAAAATATCTTTGATCATGAAAACATGCCTTTTGCACCCTATTAAAAGTCCGCAAAAGGACATTATAGCTCCAACATCGTTGGTCCACTTATTTAGTCTTAATAATATTTTAACTATTAAAAAACAACTGTGTTTGGACGTATAATTAGTGATAAGACATTACACATTTAGTTTAAAAAAATGTTTTTAAGTAAATAACTGACCATGCGTCGTGCTCGTTAAACGGATGCTACTTCGGGTGACTGGTCGGGCTTGAATACGTGTCGCTTATTGTACTTAAATTGTTTAATAAATTAAATCCTATATAATACCTTGGTGTCTATTCCAAATCCAATGCCAGAGGAATGGCATTAATAATGATAGCGGTATCATCCAGATTTGTATAAAATAGCAGAAGATAATCCATCCAATTAAAACAAATAATGAAAATTCACGATCGTCCCACTCGAATAATCGTCTGAGAATCAAATCGAATGACTTAATAATACATTTACACTAGTTTTAAAAGTAAAAACGGCCTGTAGGCTGTAAATTTTCACTCAGGTTTTCTTAATTATAAGGGAGATAACCTAAATCGTCGGAATTATATAAGCACTCTTATTAAATGCAGCATTATTATTAACAAGCATAACATTATAGAAAGAAACTCTATTATATGTATAGTAAAAATAATAATCTCTATTTAAACTATTACTTTAATTTAAATATTGCATTTGCATCCGGTACAGTGGTTTTATTTCTCCCAAATCGAACACTGGATCTATCTTCAGTGGCGTAACAATAGGATGGCAGGACTGGCAAAATACCACGGACCCCAAGCGGGCCCCTGCCCAAGAGATATTATGTTCTATGGATCAATGTAAAGTCTTTAATACGCATTCGGCTAGCGTGGGGACTACTGACCATTCCCTCTCGCCTAAGAGAGGAGGCCTATGGCCATTAGTGGGACATATACAACGTGAGTACGCTGAAAATCTCAAATTAAACTGAGTAGGTACTATTTTTACTGATAAGAATCAAAAGAATTGCCACGAAAGAAGATTTGCCACGGGCCCCAGATGGTATAGTTACGCCACTGTCTCTCTTCCACCTTTGAATAAATTAAGCTAATATTCTAAGTTTTCATGGGCAGCGGTATCACTTAAAATGTGGGCCTCCTGTCCATTTGTTATTATAACTCCCAAATCTCGCCCACAGATGGAGCAGCCACACTTCTTTTTCTATTTTATTGGACACTACTCCAAGAAGTCTTTTGAGTGTACTAAGACAATAACGCCTAAATTGTAAGTGGGGGGCCATACGCTACGGAGGTATCCATGACAAATTGTTGCTAGATTGGAATCCGCAAGGCAAGAGGAAGTTGCCGCTTTTCTTATGGGGGCAAACACCCAAAAAGGCCAGTCATCGGAGTCGATGAGAGGACTTTAGAGGGTGCGTTTCCAGCTGCCTAATACAGACCAGGCCATGAGGCATCATTGCTTACGCGAATGAAGCTGAAGGACCTGAAGTGAAGTTAAAGAGTCACTGGATGCCCTCTGCCCCACATGGGACCGTAAGTCAAGCCAAGGCAATTAATTATCGTTTCGTCCGAGAATCGAATCTCTTATACGGATAGCGTTACTTACTTGTAAAATTCGTTAATTTGTTGCAATGCCTGGAATACGTGAGAGACAAACACGACGTTGCTATACAATAGACCAATATCAAATTTCATCCCTTTCTTCACGTGTTGCTCTTCCTTGGCTTGAAATAATTTCAGCGAAGCCTTTACCTAAAATTGTGTTTTTTTTTTAAATATTGTAATATACAAAAACATTAATCAAAAGTTTATTTTCTAACAATACCAAATTATGAATAGTTGGCACACGATAAACCATTTCACGGATATTTCATAAGAAAGAGGTGCCTCCAAAGAAGATCGTCGACCAGTCTAACCACTTACTGGCCCGAAGGCCCGAGTCACTGTTGGCCTGAAGGGCCTTGACACTCAAGCTGATATCTTTCAGGCCGCTAGTTAAACGGAGGTGTTTAGTTAAAAGGCCAGACTGTAAATTGAACGCCTTATTAAGCTTATTAAGTTGGCTGCGCCTTACGCGAACATAGTGTCAAAACATTAAGGCTGTTAATGAAGATTACCTTACTTTATTGACTATTATTGTAGAAAATTAATTAGCTATAATAAGCACGTCAGACCTGTATTATCTCCTTTCGGAATAGCACAAAAGCTTGGCCGTAGAGCAGGCGGAAAATAATAAACGGCCAAATATAAGGGTCTTTCCTCCAACTTTGATTTTGTTACCTTTGGTAGAGAGAGAGAGACTCTTGGGCCGTGGGGTTGCAATGCACTAATTAAAGATTTAAGTTGGTGGATAGTACCGGTGACCCCAGAGCTTATGCTTTCCTCGCTCAACGAATAAGTATCGCAATACAGCGAGATTCCAGTATTAAAGGTACCACAGGGACCAAATTTTTAAATTGTTTAGTTTTCCATTTATGAATTTTTGAAGTTATACTTCTTTTGGCGCGTTAGAGAAAAATGATGAGAGTAAATTTTTACGATGTACACCGTCACAAAAAACCGACACCCTGAAGTTAGCTATAGTCAACATTTTAATCTTTTTGAAGTTATACTTCTTTTGGCGCGTTAGGGAAAAATGATGAGAGTAAATTTTTTCTATTGTTAGTGTCGTTTTTTCTACAAACGTAGAAATATAGAAGTTTCGAAAAGATTTTTATCTTGTCACGCCAAAGAAGTATAACTTCTATAGCGTGTACATAAGTACACACAGAAGGAAAACACTTTTTTAACGGATTGAAGTTATGTATTATAAATTTGCAATTATTTTATATAATTTTTAAATTTAACCGACGTTTCGCGTGCTTTACAGCGAGCGTGGTCACGGTGACTGAAGACAAAAGGTGTTGAATGTCAAAAAATATGATTGTGTTGAGTTAAAAAAGTGTTTTTCTATGTGTAAAAGTTATGTCAATAAAAGACAATACTAAGTACACACACGTTTTTAAGCTATTGCATAGATTTTATCGCTGGCTTTGAGCGCGGCGACCGAATCAAGAAATTCCGTAACGAAAAAAACCTAACACAATAACGTAATATAGGTGCGGCAAATACGCCTTAGAGTAGAACTATATAGGCGTTTTAGTCTGAGTCTGGTCATTCATCATGGTCATGGATCATTTTTATCAACTTATGGTGTTATAATTATTTATTTATTTTTTATTTATGCAGTATTTGTTTTTCTTTGATATTAATTCAAGTTTTTCTTTGATTTTATTTCAATTTACCACTCTACCAGACTCAGACTAAAACGCCTATATAGTATGTCTCACTCTATGCAATAGCTTTACCGCGGCAGTCCCCGAGTGCCACACGTTTTTTTTATATTATTATTATTACTATGTAGGTTAAGAATATTGTAAAAACTGTATATTTGTATGTTGCAAATAAATTCCTAAATATCTTTTATACGTTAAATTGTAATTCATTTAGGGTCTGTTTCACAATGTATGGATAAAGTACCAAATAGCTATGCAACACATAAATTATTTGGAAGATAAATTGTGCTATTTGACATTCATCGGACTCATAACTTATGATGGATTTTATGTGACGAATAGCGCTATCTGACAGTCGTGAAACGCAACGAAATGAAATGAAATAGTTTATTCTTGCAAGTAGGACTATATAAATCACTTTTACAATGTCTTCCTAAGCTAGATGAAGTCGACATTTCCTAACTGACTACCCTGAGAAGAAATGTCGAAACAAACTCGGGGGTCTTAGTCTCTTTTATAGTCCAGATAATACAATAATAAATTAATAAATTGGTGTAAACAAATGCAGAGTATTTACTGGACTGGTCTTTGGAAGAAAGAACCAGATCGATCTGAGCTAGCCTGTGCCAGCAGACGGCAAGCATGCCCCGAATAGCTCATGCAGATCAACCATTTTTGAAGGATCTGCACAACCCGGTACACAACAATACTGCCAGTGGCACCATAAAAATATGTGGGGCAACAACTCACTCAGATCGCCAGCCCAAAAATAACTATAGACTAAAATGTATCAAATTATAAATCAAGCAAAAGAGTTTATGATATACCTGCATAATGTTTACACTTACAATGGATACGAAATACAGCAACAATTGTGTTTAACCAATAAGTAATAAATAGCTGATTTGGAGCTAATGTAGAACTTATCCGTACATTGTGAAACAGACCCTTAAAGTCATGCTGTGAATTTATACTGACAAACAAAACCTAGTTCCAGTATCGAAGGTTACTTACTGGATGATACTTCAACGACATCTGTAGCAGCACTCGGGGGTGGTCGCCCCTCGCACTATTCCTCTTATTCCTGTCCTTTAAAGCATACCAGCGCTTTTCATTGTTCGCTACCCTCAACAATGGAATCGACACTTTTCCTATAGACTCGTTGAGAAGCGTATTAGCGATCGAGCTTTCATACACTTTGAGATCTAGCGTAGATGATACATCGCTTATATTGCTGAAATATATAAAAAAAATAGTTTTCTCTATAGAAACTTTTTTGGTATAAATCCTCTGATTACAACCTTTCTAGGTCTGGGTCTCAGATATCTGTAACTGTTTCATGATCATTCGCCAATCTAATAGGCAAGTAGGTGATCAGCCTAATATGCCTGACACACGTCGACTTTTAAGGCAAGCCGGTTTCCTCACGATGTTTTCCTTCACCGTTCGAGTGAATGTTAAATGTGCGCATAGAAATAAATTACATTTATGCATAGCCGGGGATCGAACCTACGGGCACAGGGATGAGAGTCGCACGCTTAAGCCACTAGGCAAACTCTAATTATAGCTTGTGTATGTTTTCAAACTCAAACTCCAAATATCTTTATTCAAGTAGGTAACCAAGTACACTTTTGAATCGTCAAGTTAAATTAAACGTAAATTTACATTTACTACCAGTTCGCAAGTCAAGGGCGTAGAGCGGGTAAGAAGAACTGGCAAGAAACTTTCCGCCACTCTTTTTAATCGCCAAGTATTGTCATACAAATTGTTTGAACTGGAGCAATTCAATCCCAAGGATTAGGATCATTTAAGTAGTCCTCAAATTTATAAAAAGCTTTGTTGATTAATTTTCGTTTAACGAGGGCTTTGAATTTATTTAGTGATAATTCTCTAATTTCGCTTGGGAGCTTGTTGTAAAAACGAATACAATTTCCATATAAGGAGTGGTTTATCTTTTGGAGCCTGGTTGGTCGTACACTCAAATTAGTTCTATTTCGCGTATTATACTGGTGAAAGTCACCATTTGTTTTAAAATCGTTTATATTTTTTTGGACATACAACAAGGCTTCAAGAATATATTGACCAGATAGTGTCATAATATTTAATTCCTTAAACTTATTCCGTACCGACTCCCTCGGAGAAACACAACAAATACCCCGAACAGCCCGCTTCTGCAGCACAAATATGGATTGAACCTCTGCAGCAGCACCCCACAGTAAAATGCCGTACGACATAACGCTATGAAAGTAGCTATGGTACACAATTTTAGCCGTGTCCTCATCAGTAAACTGTCGGATTTTCTTTACTGCATATGCTGCAGAGCTCAGCCTATTCGAAAGAGTCTCTATGTGTGGGCCCCATTGGAGTTTACTATCTATTGTTATGCCTAGAAAAACAGTTTTGTCAACAAAGTTTAGTTCACTGTCCTTAATTTTCAGGTTACCAATATCTCGCTTTACGCTAGTAGTTGTAAATCTAATACATTTTGTTTTATTCTCATTAAGCAGTAAGTTATTTACATTAAACCAGTTAACTATACGAGAGATAGAATTGTTTACATCGTCCAATAATACGTTATTCCTATTCACTTTAAATAGAAGTGAAGTGTCATCAGCAAACAATACCATCTCATGAACTTCGTTGACAAAGAATGGGAGGTCATTTATGTAAATCAGAAATAAGAAAGGCCCGAGAATCGATCCTTGGGGGACGCCCATTGATACCTGCGAACCCGGAGAGGTGACTCCATTGACATGAACTCTTTGGATCCTTCCCTTTAAATATGAATTCATCAGGCTGGAAGCTTTGCCATCAACGCCATAGTGTTGAAGCTTTCCAACGAGTATATCAGGATGAACACAGTCAAAGGCCTTTGACAGGTCACAAAACACGCCGACTCCATCATATGATTCTTCCCAGGCGTTAAATATGTCCGAAATCAACTTCACACCGGCATCGATTGTGGAGCGACCCTTAGTGAAACCATACTGTTTATTATGTAAGAGTTTATTTTTATTAAAATGTAAAGAAAGCTGGTCTAGCATTATCATTTCAAAAACTTTGCTCAACGCAGGGAGCACGGAAACAGGTCTGAAGTTTGACGGATCAGACTCACTACCGGCCTTGAACAACGGTGTAATCTTACTTAATTTCATTTCGTCCGGAAAGACTCCACAATCGATACATCTGTTAAAAATTATAGACAATTCAGAGCTTATTACATTAATAACGGAATTTAAAATGACTGTTGACATACCCCATATATCTTTACTTTTTTTAAATTAATAAGCTTAAAAGTTTTAACGATATCATTACAAGTTATATGTTTAAACTGAAATTTAATATTACATTCAGGTACACATTTTTCTAGCAATGAGATCGCAGCAGCAGGTGAAGAATCTAGGGACTTGGTCGTATTTAGTGGTACATTTGTAAAGAACTCTTCAAAAGAAGAAGCTACCTCTGGGTCAGATTTTATTAACTTCCCTTTAACTTTTAACATATAATCAGTTCGTTTGTCAGACGTTTTACCTGATTCTTCATTTATTATTTTCCAGGTAGCTTTTACTTTATCCATGCTATTTTTTATTTTTGAACTTAAATATTGAGACTTTGCAGTTTTGCAATCTTTTTTGAAATTATTTGAATACAACCTAACATATTCCCTAAATTCCACACTAGTGTTATATTGCATTTCGTCATAGATTTCATATAATTTTAACCTTTTCCTGTGTAACTCCTCATTTGCCCAGTCACAGAAACTTGTTTTCTCAGAGACCAATAAAGTCTTTTGAGTAAATACTTTCTTGAATTCATCAATAAATGATCCAAAAAAAGTATTGTATAAATTATTAGGGGATGAGTTGCCACACAGAAATGGCATTCTATAGACCAATGCTTCTCTAAATCTGTCCAAACGGTCATTTGTAATAGGAGTTATCACAATTTTCTTCTTTTTACATGTTTTTTGTTTCCTTAATTGGAATTCAAACCATTGACCAGTGTGATCAGATTTAAATCTATTGAAAATACAAACATTCAAAGGGGCTATGTCACTATATATATTATCTATACAAGTTGCAGTGCTAGCTGTTATTCTTGTGGGTGAATGAAATTGATTTATTAAATTGTATGAACGAAAAAGACTAAGTATGCGTACACTTGAATTAGAATGACAAAGTAAATTGACATTAAAGTCCCCACACACAATTAGCCCTTTATTACACTTTACTAATTTACACAATATCTCCTCTAATACATTTTCAACATTATTATAGACAGCTGATGGAGGACAATATAGACATACAACAATGAATTGCTCCAGTTCCACACAGGAGATTTCAATAGTTAGTTCTACAGAGAGGCTGATAATATCCTTTCTTTCTTTGCATTTAAGTTTTTTACTTATTAGGATTAATGAGCCACCATGAATTGCATTTTCTCTGCAAAACACACTACCAACCCTGTGGTTACAAAAATTAAACAAAACTTCATATTTTTTTAACCAGTGCTCTGTTATGCACAAAAAGTCTATTTTTTGACTATTCAAGAATAGTTCAATTTCTAATTCTTTATTTTTCATCCCCTGTATATTTTGATGAACCACAATAATTTTTTGGGAATGAATTTTATCACATAATATACTTACCTTATTATTGCAAGAGTGGTGCTCTGTTGTCCTATTATCTAATTTAAATAAATATTATTTGGAATTTCTTCCAAGGTCTTATAATCTAATGCTTGCTCAATAGAAGCAAGGGGTCTAGCCAAATTCTTGGCTGTCATCTCTATAAAATATGATAGCGAAACAGCTATCTGTCTTTTTAAGAAAGCAGGTAGGTAATAATATCTACCCTTTGTAATAAAAAACTTTTTCGTATACCTATTGGTATCTATGACACAAAATTTATCATTATACATTGCCAATGTATGCAATGTTTGATTAAGAATATATCTTGTGTCATTTTCTTCCTTAGGAAAGCTTTGGCTATAGGGAAATGTAAACATAACAATCCTCTTAGAGTCTAAACAACAAAGTTTTTCATATAATACTAAAAGATCATGTTTATTTACATTTCCCCTGTTCCCTGTAAAAATTATTAAATTATTACATTTATCATTGTTTTTGATTATATGATTTTTCACAATGTTTTTAAAAGTGGCATTGGGATAGCAGCTGTTTATAAATGTTTGGCCGTCATTTAATTGTACAATAGTACCCATGTCCTTACCCATTTCATCGGAATACATTAAATTCCTTTCTTTTGCCTTAATTTTTTCCTTTAACTGAGTGTTTGTTGTGGTGTAGGTGAGGCTGTGAGTGTGTTGTGATGTCTGTGGTAATTGGAGGCTTTTATAATTGCAACCATAAGTTTTATTCTGTAATTGCTCATAACATTCTGCGGTGTAATTAGAAATTTGAAGCAGATCTTCCATTGCAGAAGAATATTTTTCTACCATACATTGTGATTCTTCAAATTTAGAAGTGAGACTGTTTGTAAGTTCTTGTAATTTTAAAATTTCTGTTTTTAAATCTAATGTGTCAGATTCATATTTTAATTTAGCATTTTCAGCTTCAATTAAATGCAAGTCAAGTTCATTTTGAAGTTGTGTGTTTTGAACTTTTAAATCCACACTGTTTACATTTCTATATTGTTTTACTAGCTTCTGTGTCTTTTTAATGTATTTATTAATTTTAATATATTTTCTTATTTTGTTTTTACCTAAACTTTTTACATTATGAGTTGGTGTAGAACCTGAATCATGAATTAATGTATTATATAAAATGTTTGTGTGTGTATCTTTTACACTTTGTGATACTGCCTCCAGGTTATTAATATATTGTTGAGCCTCCAATAGCTGTTTTTCAAGACTTCTTATGCGCAGCAAAGCAACTTCATACTCATTACCATAACTATCAAGTTTATTTAATTCCTGCTGAAGCATAACACACTGATCTTTGAGTGAATTATTTTCTTTAAATAGCAAGGACATTTCATTTTTGAGCTTCCTGTTGCCTTCCAGCACACTTAAGAGTTCTTTTTCATTTTCTTCTCTTTCACTTGTTAACTGGGTACATAAATCCCTGCAAGACTGCAATTCAGTCAGTGCTAATTTAAGTTTAGACTCTTCTTGCAAAGCCAAGCCTCTGCGAGTCATCATATTGTATAATAGGGACTGTATGCAATGAACAAGCGAAAAAGGTATGTATATATAACTGTTATGTGAGTGGTGGTAGTTGTACTATTTATTACCTATAAATATATAATGAAACCTAAATACACACAAAATGGGCTTATTTTGTCAAGTAAATTATGTGGTATTAATTGTCTGGGCGAATGTTTTCGTCGTCGATTTTGCTTCCACTAGTTGTCAAGCAAAATGAGACATAAACCGTGCCAATGTGTGATGGACGTAGCTCCAAAAACTGAGCAGTATTTTATGATCTTATGTAGTCAGTAAATATAACTTAAATAGAACAAAATACTCCCCAGGTTTGACGATATTTTAAACTACGTTACCGTTAAGGCGTTGAGTTGACAGCCGGTTTTAGATCCCTGTTTTGCCAAGTTCTCGCGACAAAAAACACTGTATAATCACTTTATATTATACACAAATCTTATTTTTAACTATATTACCCTAATTTAACTAAATTTAAACCCTTAAAATTATTATTTTTTAAAATTAAATGTAGAGGTTGTTTTCTTACAACCTACCACCAGAGTTGCCAGATCGGAAAATTTTCTTTCATCATTTCATTTTTTCTAAAAAAAATTCTCACGGTGATTGCCCGCCAGTTGCCTATTTATTTAATTAGTTTTATTGTACTGTATTTCTGTATACTTGCAACGAAGTGCTAAAAAATAAATCTCTATATATAAAATTCTCGTGTCACAATGTTCGTTCCCATACTCCTCCGAAACGGCTCCACCGATACTTACGAAATTTATTATGCATATTCAGTAAGTCTGAGAATCGGACAACATCTATTTTTCATCTCCCTAAATGTTAAGGGTGGACACTAAATTTCTATTTTTAATTTTTAGACAAAACTTTTTGTTTTTATTTTTGATACAGCTTACAAAAATACATATAACCCTTAATTGTCACCCCTCTACGATCAACCCATATGTTTTATTATATAATAATAGTAGTTAGTTATTTTAATTGAACTAAAAAAATGTTTCCTAGAAATAATATACATGGCAAAACTAAGTTTTCCGGGACAGCTAGTAATTATATAGATATTTTGATTTTGTTCGATACAAATTAGTCAACAGCCTTGCGATTCTGTAACTCACTTTGCGAATTCACACAGCGGTTTTCGCATCGGCGGTCGCTCTCAAGTCAGTCGTGAAGCAGTCACTTTATGATTTGGCATTCTGATAAACAATAAAATACAAGCTCCCACCTTATCAGAATGCCAAATCATAAAAAGCGACCGCCGATGCGAAAACCGCTGTGTGAGTTCGAAAAGTGAGTTACAGAATCGCAGGGCTGAACCTACCATAAAACGCGTTAACAACATGATAGATCATACTATATCCCTTTGACCAATCACTTACAATCGCCATCCAGCGTTGAACAATAACTTACAATAAATAGCAGCGGTTCCAGACGATCTCTGAAGTGGTACCAGCTCGATGCGTTTGCACTTTTTGATTGTCCACTTGCAGAGTGCAGTACGCACGTGGCTTCGAACCTAGACCTCTTGCTCCAATCACCTTCACGTGGAGCACTCCAACATCATTCAAATTCGTATCCAAGTTGGAAATAGACTGGAATTTTAATCGACTTTAAAACGGTGGTTATAACTGTGATCCTATACCCACAGACATATCAAAATAATCGTTTAGTAATCAGGTATTCTATTAATACAACGTAAGTACACACACAGAAGAAAAACACTTTTTTAACGGATTGAAGTTATGTATTATAAATTTACAATTATTTTAGATAATTTTTAAATTTAACCGACGTTTCGCGTGCTTTACAGCGTGCGTGGTCACGGTGACTGAAGACAAAAGGTGTTGAATGTCAAAAAGCATGATTGTGTTGAGTTAAAAAAGTGTTTTTCTATATGTAAAAGTTATGTTAATAAAAGACAATACTAAGTACACACACGCTGGCTTTGAGCGCGGCGACCGAATCAAGAAATTCCGTAACGAAAAAACCTAACACAATGACGTAATATAGGTGCGGCAAATACGCCTTAGAGTAGAACTATATGTTATATAGTTATAACTGTGATCCTATACCCACCGACATATCAAAATAATCGTTTAGTAATCAGGTATTCTATTAATACAACAATCTTGAATCAGTTTTGTAGTTTATTAAATATCCAGGCGATTCCCGTTATTAAGAATTTGTATGATTTAAATCACTGTATAAGGAAATATTATCACTATCATCGACTATATACCTCAACGATTTGATTCTAATGAATGCAAGTTTCTAGACACAAGAAATAAAACTCCATTGGCGCACTGTTGTGATTAGAACTCGTGCTGAGTTGATGAGGAGATGTTTAGAACATATAACATTCAGATGTGGTGACTCCAGAGCTGGTGCTTTCCTTAACGAATAAGTATCGCAATACAGTGAGGAAATGCTGACAGCGGTAAAGGTGCAGTGCCAGGGGGATCAAACATTTAAATTTGTTTTAATTTTCTATTTATCAATTTTAATTATTATTACAAAATAGGTTAAGAATCTTATAAATATAATATTTGAATAAAAGAAAATTACATAAAAATAAATAAATAGTATACATACATATGTTTCATTATATTTATTGAAGTTGCATATACATTCATCTGAAACCACCGCCCGTACAGCACACATGGTTATGGAGAGGTGGACTTTTGCAGGACTCTCTCCAAGCTCCAGCCATAAGTCATGAGTACGCTCCTTTTGATATTTCGCTAAATCCACCGCGCAGCTGTTGAAATATATAAAATTAGTGACTCTCTTTCTGTCGTGACATTTGGACCCGACACGAACATGACTACAAGTTGTTTCTCTCCTTCATTGGGGCCGTTCAAGTATTACGTAAGAAGATTTACTGCAATTCATCCCCCCCTTCCTCATGTCGTAAAAATAAAAGAAGATAATCGTACTAATTTTTTGTAGGAATCCTCGAAAATGCATTTCGTTTTCAAGCATAGACAATGCGTGTAAAAAAAAGTAAATAATTACAAAGATCCCCCCTTAAGAATGTAGTGCTTACGTAATACTTGCCCCATTTCCGTTTTGTCTCGGAAATCTGTTTCCAGTGAAGGCAAAACTTATCTTTTATAATTATTATTTAAGCATAAGTTTGAAATTACTAGATGAGTAATTTTTGTAAAATTCATCCCAATAAAGGTACTTACAAATTACATTATAAATAAAGAATCCAAGAGCGCTTTAAGGAAAGAGCTCTTGAGAGCTCTTATTTGCGCTATTTGTTTTGAAATAATAATATAAGTGTTGTTTGATGATTTGCAATTTTAAAAGAGTACCGAGAGTTTTTTACGCCGGCTTTTTCTCTCGGCCTACACCCTCTGTCTTCTTTGCCGATGAGTAGGGATGTCTACAGATTCAAATTTAATGACGTGGAATAAGTGATACCTGTATCTTATATTCCATAATAAACATATTTTATTTTAGAGGCCGGCACTGTCCAAGAGCGGCGGCAGTATCATTTACCATCAAGTGAGCCTCCTGCCCGTTTGCCCCCTGTTTTTATAGAATGATCTGTTCAAATATGTTAATTAAAAAACTGAGAAATATATACCTGCCTATGGATATTTTCGGGTTCCCTCGATCCCATAGCGACACATGGAGAATGTTGTCATGATATAAATGCATCTTGAACCTCTCACGCCATTCTGGGTGTATACTGTTCGAAGATGACTTCGATTTATACGATTCTATTCCCAACCTGAAAACATAAACTAGATAAAATAACTATATGAAAAACAAAAGACGACGGCGCGTGGCGTTTGTTTGTGATTGGTTCGTTCGTATCGCGTGATTACACTAGATTGGCCAATCAAAATTAGACGAAACAGGCCAATCGTTTCATATGCTAAAACCGTATTATTTTATTATATACATAGTTTTAAAAATATAATGGTGAGGTGGAAAAGGGGGAAAGTTTTCTGTCCACCAGGATGTCACAATTTCTGGCTTGTATACTAAAATGGGTGTCTATGGGATGCCTGCCCGTTTTCGGCTTCCCGTAGGCTCGTTTGGCCCCATAATTATATATATTAGTGGGTGCGTTGGCGGCCTTTGAGGGAGGAGTATACTCTTTCTTTAAACTATTGGAGTCCGTCTCCCAGGGAAGTCCGGGAGTCGATTCCACATTTCGCTAGTTCGCAAAATTTCGTATTGGGATGCGGACCGTGGAAAACTTCCAGCCATCGTGGTGATGCTGATATTTGCGATTAAATCTGTTACAGTGTTCTGTTTTATCAAAAATATAAAAATCACACTTACAAAGACATGATTTTGATAATACTCGATTTCATAATTAACACGAGGTCATATTTTTTTAATTATCAGTATTATCACTATCACAGCATTTATTTTCGAGAAAGGTCAACCGTATCTATTTTATGATTGATAATTAAAAATCATATAAAACATCAATTTTTTATTATAATTTTCTAAATATGTCATACACAGAGTTGTTAGTTAAAAAATAAAAAAATAATTAAAGTTATTTTAGCCTATTATTTCATATTATTCATTCATGACCACGCTGTATTAAATAAAATATTACAGAACCTACTAAAAGTATATGTTACTAGCTGATCCGGCAAACGTCATTTTGCCATGTATATCATTTATAATAAAAAATAGGGGTTGATCGTAGAGGGGTGAAAGTTAGGGGTTGTATGTATTTTTTTATGCTGTATCATAAAAAAATAAAAAATAAGTAATTTATCTAAAAATTTTAAAAAATAATTTAGGGGTGGACTACCCTTAACATTTAGGGGGATGAAAAATAGATGTTGTCCGATTCTCAGACATACACAATAAGCACACAAAATTTCATGAGAATCGGTCAAGCCGTTTCGGAGGAGTGTGGCAACTGGCAACGAAAACTGTGACACGAGAATTTTATATATTAGATTTAATTGCTGATTAGTTATTACATATTGATGATCCTCCATTGGTAATTTTCGGACTGTATCCAATTCGTTTGAAACCTTAATCATTCAAATCTGTCTACGAACGAAAGGCCATTCCTATGTATGCTTTAAAATATCCTCTGAGTTTTATATTAGTGTAAGATTTTTAATAGACAAGTCGGTGATCTGAGCCACACGCCGTCGTTAGATTGTGATTAAAAGAGAGATCGTCGAGAACCAGCTCGTTATAATTTGAGCTAGTGTTATTTGTAGTTTTAAATCAATCTAAATTAAATATTGTATGATAATCATTCGTTTCTTGAACTCGCACTTTACCCACATGACGCACACAACCCGCTAATATCCATGGAGTACCTAACGAAATTTCTCTGACATATATATTATATATATGTATACTATAAGGACTCCCACACAAAACTGCGATGCGATGCGAATTTCTGCGATACGATTTAGTGCGACGAACCGTTTGGTAGGGCGACCATTCCTTTGTAGTCAGCCGTACTGGACGTGTTTTTAGGACGCGTAAGATGGATCGTAAAAAGATTATTGCACTGCTGTTATTGTTAAATAGATATAAAAGAAAAAGAAGATTCTAGGTTCATTCATTTATTACGATTATGAACTCTGATGCAAACATTCACAGACGCTCTTCCACGCATCTTGCTTGATAAATTTATTTTTATAATGTTCATCACTTGTGTCCCAAAGGACGGGACGCTCCTCAATTAAAAATATTAAAAAATCCATGTCATATTCCGCATTTTTATATAAACAAAGAAGGCGGCGAAGGCGCCGCGCGTCTTTCTCTAAAACTGTCTCAGAGCGGACTAAAATGGCGACACCAAGGATGACGTAATATCGCAAGAATGTGCGATGCGAAGCAGATCGGAACTTCTTGCGGTGCGTTCGTGCGAATTCGCAAATATTTGCGATGCGATGCGAATTCGCAGTTTTGTGTGGGAGCCTTTAAGGTAAAAAATACCGTAATTTGCAAAACAGTCCCTTTGTCATGTCATCTTGAAGCAAATGTGATACATTCTTTGCTTCAATGAGAACAACAGCCACTGCCGTTGTCCAACCACTGTTCAGCGATTTTGATCTACTGATTTTCTTTTCATTCTGGAAATAAAAATATATGTAAGCTGTGCCTAGCGTTTTACTGTACGTTCTACTATACATTAAATATAGTCTAAAATTAAAGCAAATATTTTCATATCAATTTAATTTTTACGTGAATATTTACTTAATTTGTTTTATTCATAAAAATCAGTGCAGCCGAATAAAAATTGTGTAAAGATTGATGGACTCAGTTTTCACACTTAGTAAAGTCCTGGCTAACTAAGCCAGCTTAGCTCTTTCCAGAAGCACAGAAGTCTTCTGGGCACTTCGCAGGCTTCACGGAGCGACCCCACTGCTCCGAGGATTTCTGTACATTGGTTAGCCACAGCAACATTCCAGGACTACGTGGGTGGTGGTGGCGGTAATAAATGGAGTAACTAACCCAAGTTTTATTCTCTTATATGAAGCAAAAACAGCAACATCGAATATTTTAAATAAATTATTAAACTTATATTATGTACTCTATTACAGTGTAAATTAAAATGGAAATGGGCAGAACACACAATATATGGAAATAATTAATGAACTGCATATTGACAGATGTTTAAATTGTCCGTTGAGTGAACTGACAAAAGATCTGCTTTATGTCCGTTCCTATACTGTAAGAAATAGTTAGTCTTTTTGTTAATATTTTAATCAATTGAAATAAATTATAATGCTGTTGAATGTTGTGTTGTTCTGTGTATGTATTGTTTTGTATATGATATAAATGTAAATAGCTGTCGCATTGGAGTAATCTGTATTGGTAGCTTATTTTGTTAAATAAATTAACAATTCGACAAACTGCGGAAAATATCGGAAAATACGACCTCCTCCACCATTGAAAAGAGAAGGTAGGAGAGGTGGTCTGATGGTATTAAAAAGATAGGGAGAGTATTTTGGATAGACTACGAAAGAAATGGAGTAGTCGAAGCCTTTACTCGTGAAGAGGAAGAGAGGTTGACTAGAAATAAGATTTTAATTTAAACTTTTAAATTTGCATACATTTATAGTAGTTGTAAAGGAATTACTAGAGTTTTTTTATTTATACGTTAATTTTTAAATTTACTATATTTATTTGAATTTGTTAAATAAATAAACAATGCCACAAAATATCGGAAACTACGACCTCTTCCACCGGGAAAAAGAGAAGGCCACTAGAAAGGTGGTCTGATGATATTTAAAAGTGAGGGAGAGTATTTTAGATAGACAACGAAAGAAGTGGTCAAAGCCTGTACTCGTGAAGAGGAAGAGAGATTAGGATTAAGTAATTTAAGCTTTTAAATTTTCATATATTTGTAGTATTTGTAAAATAATTATTAGTAATTTAGATTTATAGAAAATTACTTACCATTTCTTTATCAACATCAATTGACTGTAGAACTGATTCGGGCTTGTTATTTTTAATCACTATGTTCATGAGGGAGCTGGGACGCCATCTTGAACAATAATTATATAATTAAGTATAATAGTTGGAGTTTGAATGTATATTAAGTAATGGCAGGCAACACTTGTCACACGTGAAAAATCGGAATGTTTATTTAAATGTTATAACAGAGTTTCTGTTATAAAAACTTGCTTCTCTTCTAGACACGGACAGTGAAACATCCTAGGGTTTTATAAACATAAAGTATTGTAAATGTGTAATAGTGTGTTTGTAATATATATATACATATACATATATTAACCATGAAGTCAGTGTTTTAAAATAGCCCCTCACCTCCAGAGCCCAATCAGCTCGAATAGCACCGTCCAACAATAAACATTGTCTTTAATCCCTTGGATGGCCTTGGTACGCAATAGGATAAGCAAATGCGACAAAAATTTAAGTCTTTCCAACTTTAATGTTGTTCCGTTTGGAGTAGAGACTCTCGGGATGTCGGGTTCAAATGCACAGCTAATTAAAGATTTAAGTTGGCGCTGAAGTAATCCCAAACTGGTGCTTTCCTTGATTAACGAATCAGTATCGCAATACAGCGAGGCCAAACTTTTATCTTAATATATATAAATTACGTGTCACGTTTTTTGTCCGCTATGGACTGCTAAACTACCGAACCGATATCCATCAAATTTGCACACCGTGTGCAGTTTGATCTAACTTAAAAGATAGGATAGCTTACATCTTAATTTATACCCGCAATATTATTTTATTGCAAAATATTTGTTTATTATTTGATAGTCACAATTCTAACAGATGGCGCTGTGTTGGAAGTACCAACGTTTCACATAAGCTACAATTTAATGACATAACCACCAAAAAAGCACGGTGGTGCCCATGACTGGTGTTCTCCTACCGTTTCCCTTGAATAGTTTGCTACTATGTAATATAACAAAAACCTTAGCCACAGCAACGCTAGGCCGGTCTGCTAGTATTATATAATTTTAGTTTGTATGTGTTATATTCTATATTAATTTGTAAAAAAATTACTTGAGTACATGCGAAGCAGATCCATTTAATCCAGGCGTAAGGTGGTGGGTGCAGCCTCTGTTGATCCGTCACCAATGATAACAATTGCAAAGTAGAAATATATTAAATTTTTAATTGCATATTTGTATTTCTTTATCTAGTCTAGTTTATCTTTTATTTTGATTGTATAATTTCTTTTCTCTTTTATGATTGTAATGTTTCCCTCCAAACGTTGTGCACACTCGTCATTGATACACATGCATGTATTATGTTTTTGTGTGTAGTGTTCTCTGTGTTTGTATGTGTTTCGTTAGTGTGCCTTTTTAAAATAAAAGAAAATAATAATAATAAGTATCTGAATTAATAGGCTATTATTATTATTATTCAACAGTCCGTCAGTCAGTATCTTTATATTTCAATTTACATGAATATTTATTTATTTATTACCACATAATTATTCTTACAATTATTTCTAATGCAATACAATTATTAATAAGGGGGCGTCCATAAATTACGTGAGATGTTTAAGGGGGGGGGAGGGGGTCGAGTCAAATCTCATTTAATCTTACGTTGGAGAGAGGGGGGGTTCTGGGCAAATATCAATTACATCAATAACAATTTTTTTCTGATTGAAAAAAAAAATTAGGAAAATGGTTGACCCTTAAGGCCATCTCTGCAACTTCCCTCTAACTCCATACCTAAACGATCAACATTTCAATTATTTGGTTTTTGAGCTCTTCGAGCTCAATAGTACGAATTCTGTGTTATTTTGAGTTCTCCGAGCTCAAAAAGATAGCTTCTTACGCGATTACGTAAGAAACCCACATTTTGAAAAATCTCACGTGAGATTGGGGGTTGGGGGAGGGGGTTGAATAAAATCTCACGACATCTCACCAGGGGGGGGGAGGGAGGTACAGAAAATTTAAAAAAAACACCTCACGTAATTTATGGACGCCCCCTAATGAACACAATAATACACCTGGATACAACATAAACATATTCACACTAATACTAAAATAAGGTATAAGATTTGATCGTTTGTTTGCATAGAAAGCTCCAAAATAACAGGACTGATTTAAAAAATTATTTCACTATGAAAACCCTAGTTTCCATTCTTGCTCTGAAATTTGATTTGAAAACTGGCAGTAAAATGTTAAGGCTTATTGACCAAGTGAAGAGAGAGAAGCCAACAATTGATGGGAGGTGGTGGAGGACAGGGAGCGCTGGAAGTTTCTCATTTCGGAGTGAAAGACACTTTTGGGTCGCAAAGGCAGCCGAGTTAGTGTATTAAGTATATGTATCAAGAGAACGGCGTTTCGCATAGTTTTCACCTCCATTCTTGCTTGGAGACCAGAGTGATATATATATTATATATGTTGGTATATGGTAAATATCTCACTATTAAAACTGCAAAATTCCGTTCGATGTTTAGAATACCTTGTTATAAAGACTGGGTGACCCGGTGAACTTAATACAAAATGTTTAAAACAGACCAAAGAGATCGTACAACATATAATATGACAACTAAGTAACAATTATTGATATTTCCCTAATTTATTGGAAAATTCAACTTTTCCCTGCGTTTAAACCTTCCCTGAACTTCCACAAATATTTCAAGATCATAATTAGCCAAATCGGTCCAGCCATTCTCCAGTTTTAGCGACACACGAACAGCAATGCATTTTTATATATACTAATTACTAGTTGACCCGGCAAACGTTTGTTTTGCCATGTATTAGTTATTTCTAGGAAACATTTATTAGTTCAATAAAAATAACTATCTACTATAGTAAAAAAATAAAGGTTGATAGTAGAAGGGTGAAAATTAAGGGTTGTATGTATTTTTGTATGCTGTATTATATAAAAATAAAATATATTTTTTTATCCAAAAATAAAAAATATTTTTTTTGGGGTGGACACCCCTTATCACTAAGGGCTTTCATATATAGATAGTAGCCGGTTCTCAGACATACTGAATATGCATAACACATTTCATAAGAATCGATCGACCCATTTCGGAGGAGTATGGGAACGAACATTGTGACACGAGAATTATATATATTAGATATAGATAGATAAACGTACCTTTTTATACTATTAGAGTTATTTCTAAAAGTAACCGCAGTTTCGGAGGCTGTATCCATTTTGATAATACTAAATACACATGCACACCACAAATAAAATATAAATTAAATGTTACAGATTATCCACATATTATCAAATCTTATCAATTAATTAACGATAATATTGTGCAAGTATGTTTATTTTCAATTTGAGGTTAATAATTTAATCTTTAAAGCGGAGCGGGGCGCCCGTAATATCTAAAAAATAAAATAAATCAGTGGCGCTACAACTTATTTAGGTCTGGGCCTCAGATTTCTGTATCGGTTTCATGATCATTTGTCAATGTAATAGGTAAGTAGGTGATCAGTCTCCTGACACACACCGTCGACTATTTGGGCCTAAGGCGTTTTCATAGTAATCATAAAAATAATTAAAAATCAATAAAAATAAAACTATAACAAATGAAAAAGTTTGGTACTAGCCCTGCGATTCTGTAACTCACTTTTCGAACTCACACAGCGGTTTTCGCATCGGCGGTCGCTCTCAAATCAGTCGTGAAGCAGTCATTTTATGATTTGACATTCCGAAAAGGTGGGAGCTTGAAGTTTATTGTTTATAAGAATGTCAAATCATAAAATGACTGCTTCACGACTGATTTGAGAGCGACCGCCGATGCGAAAACCGCTGTGTGAGTTCGAAAAGTGAGTTACAGAATCGCAGGGCTGGGGCAGCGTATCTTTAACGATGGCAGTATTTCCTCGCTGTATTGCGATACTTATTCGTTGAGCGAGGAAAGCACCAGCTCTGGGGTCACCGGTACTTTCTACCAGGCGCTAACTTAAATATTTAATTAACGCCTGTGTTCTGCACACAAGTGCCGCCACTAAATTTGATTTTAATTAAACTTTTCCTTATTAGGTTCATGAATTGTACCTATTATTCAGCTCTGATGTTTTGTTTCTTTAAAGAAACATAGGTATTTTTCAAATTTATAATACATGTGTAAATAATAAGCCATTTGAAAATATTCGAATAACAGTTTTAATTTAGTTAGGATGCCGCCATCAGTATAGAAAAAGATGTCGTCAGGCAATATTCAATTGGGTATACACATAATATATTATTCATATATTTTATCGCTGCTCTTCTTCGCCAAAATGTCTCTCAAGTCAGCGAGTTAGTCAGGTTATATTTAAGCTGTAAAGAAAATATAATTACAGTCAAAACTGTTAAGGGTTTGACTGTAACTATCCCGGCTGAATTCTATTGTATCAGGTACCTTAATACTCGTAACAACGTCATCGGTGTTACGACTATCGGTTTTTACGACCGTAAAATTAATAAAATACATATGTATATGAGTATGTAGTCCCTTCGGTGTCGTTATAACAGATTTTGGCTGTATTAATATTATATGATAATTCATTAATATATACATTTATATATGGTAAATAATATAAATAAATAATACATTATTAATTATATTAATAATAAAAGGAATTTATTTTTATACTGAAGTTACCTACAGGTTTTCGAGTTCTGAGTTAATTATTTTTGGAAAACAAATTTGTGAACAATACATACCTCATCATATTTATAAGTTAAAGAATTTGTGCCAATAATTATAAAACTGAAATTTTGTAAACACCAAAACATTGATCCTAACAAAATTTGACGGAATCGTTTAAAAACAGCATCAGAAAACTTTCAATTTCAAAATTTTACATAGACACCTCTGACAAAATTTTCGTTCTTTCTTTCGGTCTTGCGATTCCAATATGCTCCAGTTTATAGGAGGTCATGGTACGAAAAAATGCTATTGAATTTAGAAAGCTAAACACATTAATATCTCACCTGGATTGTTTTAAGAAAGCCAGGACTACTGGAACCTACATATGCATATGGTAGGCGGGAATGTGTGGCCTGTGCCACACATTCCTGTAACAAGTATGTTACAACCGTAAATTGTAACAGTAATGACAAATTTTGAGGATTCGTTTGATTCGAAATTGCGCCATCTAGTTATTCTTACCAAAAGCTAAGCTATTTAAAGAATCCACTCACCGCTAGAGGCGTGGTCAGCAGTTTAGTGATGTACTTTATGCTTGATCCGAATTTGAGGATCGTGATCGTGAAATCAATGTTAATTGGTCCCCTCGGTAATTTTAAGCTGAAAGAATAGTATCTTGCATAATTCGAAGTCCGGATTTCCCTATTCTCTATAATTTGACGTGTGTTAGCTTTTAATATATTTTATTTTATTAAATCTTAATAAGAATCTTGCTGCAAGTGCACATGTGCAATAGTTACTCATTTGACTCGTTTGGTTGTTTACGAATTGACTCAAACAACTGCCAGAATTGGGATAGTCGGGTCGGAGTAGGGAATAGATGATAAAAGAGGTTGTGCATATACGCACGGGCAATTCCTTTGTTCAAGTTAAAATTTATACAGTTTACGTAAAATCAGTGTAGTGAATTATAGTGAATCAAGTCATCATTGGAGTGTTTAATTTCCTAACCTAAGAGCTAACCTTTACTAGCCTTTACACGTGTTTATCATGCACAGATCTGTCAATTGTATACATAAATGAGTTAAACGTTAATAAGTCATGTTAATGTTTGATGACATAATTACAATGATAGACTGAAGTCAAACAAACTTTACTTAACTAATTCACCAAATAAAAATTTGTGAATTTAATATAGAAATGATAAATCACAAATATTGATCAAACTCTTATTTACTTGGTTCCCCCCCAGCCCTGGTGTTAGCTATTAATCATTTCAGGTCCCTTGAATTTCGAATTATCGAGAGTCGATTGTATATTGTAATTATATTTTTTATAGTACATTTTTTTATTTTTTGCTACGCTGGCAGAGGCTGATACGCTCTTTTCTTGAAGGACCCTATGTAGAATTAGTTCGGAAATACTTCAGTGGTTGCTTCCAGTGGTTCCACTCAATATACATATATTTATATGTGACATGTACTTTTTTAGATTTAACTTACTCAACAATTTTATGTAATGTATAAGGACGTATTAAGTATATATATATCATTTTGATATTACAATTATAATTAAGCACCACAATTTTTAAGTCAAAAATTTATTGTTTATATTTATAGCAAAACAATCTGAAACTCCAGATCATACACATCGATGGCTAAATAATATACCATATTATTACATTCTGTCCAAATCAATTTGGATCGTCTATATTTTATTCGGAAATCGATTGGATCGTATACAGATCCGATGGTCACATCCCTAGGCCAGACGCCAGTTAACAGTTTACGCCACGCAGCTGGCAGCGCCACTAGTGGGGAGTGGCGCTTATTAAAGCATGTCACTCAACTCAAACTAAACTTTAAGCAGCGCTAGTGTTTTTAATTATTTTATATTTACTTGGCTTGTTAGTTGTTAATTCTATTCCCGAATCCCGTTTCATATAGAGGTTATGTGGAAAAAATACATTTAGTTTTTAGTGTAGTGTGTAAAATAATTAATCTTAAAAATGGAGAGTAGAAAAGATACTTTAACCATGGCAAAAATGTGTCGGTTTTGTTTAACGCAAACAACACCTCTGAAGAGTTTGTATTCCAAAAATAAGACAAATAAAGACGCTTTAAGTTTAAAATTTAAAGTTTTGTCTTGTCTCTCGTACGAGGTAAGTTCAGCTTTTTCTTGACAAATAATCTATAGTTTAATTGTAGCAGACGCCACTGCAATTTTACCGCAACGACTGGTATGACCTACAGAAAAAACATGTTTTCGGAGCTATTAGTACGAATATTTACAAACTAGCGATATAATAAAATAGATACTTATTTTTTGGATATGGTTTCTTATTTACTTATATGACTCTGGTTGTAAAATCCACTAAATATTAGATTGATTTGGGAGTGACCTCAAAAGCGCCATCTGGTGTGTAACAATACTGAATGTAAAAATTTTGTAATTCATTATTTTTCATTTATTACAGGTTTTTCCTTCTGATAGAATGCCTACATACATATGTGACCGCTGCAAGTTCTTTATGAACTCATTTTATGAATTTAAGAAAATTTGTAGGCAATCGGAAGAATTAGTTCTGAAGTTCATCCGCAATGGAAAAGCATTTGAGCCTGTTACTTGGCCTAAAGCACTTTCAAAAGTAAGATATTTTAATTTTATTCAATAAATAGACTCTCACTAAAAACATAGTTTAAGACAGATAAAACTATACTAAAAGATTAAAATATAATTTTATTTAACTTAAATCAGAGATATGACTAAAGCCCTTCTTGTTCGAGTCATGAAAAATGGCAGCATTTTCTGCTGATTATTGGTTGCTTTTGAGACAACTAGTATTAACTCTATATTGCCTTATAAAAACATATCAAGTTCCTTAGGGCCAATTTAATAAATACATTTGACACCGCATCAAAGTTCCTGTAACTGTAGAGAAGTTCCTTCTTCCTATCCGGTACACTCTTGACAGAGCGGTCGTGATTGCTATGAAGTAGTGGTAATAGTGGTAGAGAAGTATAACATAATTTATTTTAGAAGTTATAACTGCAAAATTGTTTATTAAATATTTATTGTATTATTTATACTGATAAACCATAATAATTATAATAAACAATTTCTGTTCTATATAGAGAACTGCATGATGAGACACAATGTTGCATTAGTGAACCCTGTATGAAAGTATAACTGACAGATGTCAAATGTGGTCTATTAAATTGACCTTACTGTTACAATATTTCCTTGGCTTATGTGGTATAACTCAGTAGTTATAAACAAAGGGGTTGTGATAGTTATGTCATAGATATGAATAGCAAATAAGGTTGCCATTAAGGGTAAGGCTTAATTTTAAATAAATTATGTCCAATGCCTCATTAGACTGTTACAGTGTGTGTATCGTACATTTAAAATTTATTAGACATGATTAGTATATTTTTTTAGTTATGTTAAATTGAAATTACTACCTAAAACAAACATACAAAATCTTTAATTTAGTGGTCAAAATTCAGAATTAGGTAAATTTAATATTGATATAAAAGAAAATTGCTATTTTCTATATAAAATAATATTATTCTAAATTGATTTTATTTGTTCTCCAGATTTTTAATTACTATTGACATACTTCCATTTGTAGTCTTTATGCTTGTATACATCTTTCTTTCTTCGTCATAATTTCATAATGATTGCTCTCCTTGTAACATGTCTGATGTTTGACAGCTAAATAAAATACAAATTAGGCTACTAATGAAGCACAATTTTCTAGGTGTATGACAGTTCCAAAGATGTGGTAAATACAATCATTGAAGGTGGAACAACGGTGCAAGTATCCTCGCTTGATACATCTGAGAGTGAAGATGAGGATGCTAATGTATACAACGTTCAGGTAATATTTTACACGGTGCTGAAACTGAAATCTTATATATTCCTTGAGGGCTATGCTAAATAGGGGCTTAAAATTGTTTATTTATTTTTTAGTAATCTTACAGCTACAATACCCAATAGTAAAACGTTTCATGACCACCAAAGTGTCTTAGGTCACTTTGGTGGTTACCATTATGTGGTGTAAAGTACTGGAAAGTCGAAAATAATATTACTCCATTCTTACTGCTAAACAAATTATTATAATGATTTCTATTCACATCACTTGAATTGTAAGATAAGCTGTGCATGCTTTATACATTTGAACCTAAATTGTGATTAATATTGTTTAAATTACTTCCTACACATAGGTTTGTGGGGAAATCTATTTGTGTAGTTTCTATTTTTAAATTTATTTTATTTTATTATTTTAAAATGCAAATAATAACTTTAATTTTCATTCTTAAAAGCTATTTTCGTTTGACAAAATGAAGAAAGATTGAAGATAAAACAAACTAGAACAAATACAATTTATGAAATAAGTGTAATTTTTTAAACAATCTATTACAAAAGTAACATATTTGAAGTACTTTAGTTTTAAAATTTTTGTTTGAATTTTATAAAAATGCTTATAAAAACCATTTTGCTTACCGCTATCACTCTATACATATAAAATGTTTTGAATAAATATAGTAATTTGTGGAATTAAATATCTGTATATTTAAATATTAATTTATTTTATTTGTAAAAATTATTCTTAATTTTTTATTTACTATGAAAAGTATGTCTTCTTTACTTACTGTTAATTTTTACTATTATCATTAATTTTCTTTTTTGCTTCTGAGGCGCAAACTAACTGTTGTGGTCTCTAGCAGAATGACCAGCTCTGTGGAATATGTCTGCTCCACAGCATAATGCTAAGCCAGGGCCAGTTACTACAACACACACACATTACACACTTAAAATGTTTATTCCTTTTTTTATTTCCATATTTTTTTTATTATCATAATTATTTTGTGTGTTTCTGTGTGTCTGTCTGTCTGTCATTTAATATGAATTGTAACTCATAGGTCATAATAGGTTACATTAATATCAGAGATTTAGTTTGAGTCCGGTCTCACCTGAAACACCTTGATTCAATCTAAGAAAGATAGTGTAATATTAGAAACCATAAAAGAAGATTTTTCTTAATGACACGTTATTTAAATAAAAAATATTATGATTAATGTAGTTTTGAAAAATATAGTAGAAGGTTTTCTAAACATATTTGTTTTTAAAAATCACAAGTCCTTAAGATGTATTAATACTTATATTGAAAAAAGAAGAAAGAAAAAGAACTAAATCCGACTCTCGAATTGATCAACAATTTTCTCTTCTTTTTAAATAAATAAAAATATAACCGAAGATACTATGAAGGTGGTTCAAGATTAGTGGCTTACAATTTTTTTTTTATTTTAGTGTTGTTTTTTTTATCTTTAATCAAAAGAAAGGCCAAAGTATTTTTTTTAGTCTAAAATGTTAAATTTTTTATTTACTAACTTTGATCTTTCAGATTGGTGACGACGACGAAGCAAAAACAACGCAAGTGAAGATTGTCACCACAGACAATATAGAGAAAAAAGCAAAAAAAGGTAGAGTATAATGAGGTTAAGTTTTTATTTCGCTTTTTTAATTTTATTTTACCGTGTGTTCATAGCTTAAATTTTCCCGTATTTTTTATTTGCATGTTATACTTTTTATTTTGATTAGCATGTCACATGTTTAGGTGAATGGCATGTTTCGGTGAGTATTTTTGGTTCAATTATTTTGTTTAGAGTAAATCAGATAAGTCTTTTAGACTTATACTAATTCTTGTATGTCAATCTTGTGTACGAAGTTTGACATTTGACAGCGCTTTTGACAAGCACACTGACAGTTTATACTAGCTAGTATATTTATTTTATTTAAAATCCAAATGTCTGATATCTTTTATACTAAAACTCAATTTTCGTTTGAAATTATTTAAACAATATATTTCAAAACTAACATGTTTGAAATACTTTAATTTTTAATATTTTTAATTGAATTACAACTTGACAAGTGACTGTTGAAGATTGTGATGCGTGCTAAGAACACTGACAGCTAGTAAAGCAGTGGCTATATTCCCGCGCAATTGTATTATGGCAGCGTATCACAATTTTCTTCATAGGCGATGACAAATTGTCATTGGTCTTTGACGCATTGTTCGCTCTGTATCTCGTGCAGAAAAAATATAATTTAGAGTCATGGACCAAATTCTGTGACAGTATTGATTGTAAAACGAAACCGTGCGTTTCGTTTTTGATCGGAACGAGTCGTTATTTTGTATTTTGTTTCTCATTTACAAGCAGCTTAGTTTGCCGCGCATTGCGAACAGCTGACATTGACGGGTGACAGTTGACATTTGATTGATTCGTGTCTTGTAATTTTATGTTAAACGTCTATTTATTGCTTTATTTAAAAACGTAGTAGTATCTGCAGTAGAGTATGGTGTAGGATGTTAGTTTGATATTTAGTGTTTGGAATATTTTTTTAATTACTTTTTCTGTATTTTATAATACAACAAATGTATGGGTACAAGAAACTAAAGTTATTTTAAATATTTAGGAGTCACAAGGCCAATTTTAAAAATGACTTATTTCTAGATGGCATACAAGAGTAAGAGTGTATGGTATTGACACAGTACCGCTACATGTAATAATTATTTGTATAGTTAATAAATGTGTCAGCCAATTACCATAGATACAGTAGAGACAGAGACACGTGTGGCCGAGGGCTGTTGGCCATGCGAAGAATGCCATCGCACCTACCCGTTGGAACAATTGCTGACCCTGCACAAGATGAGACAGCATAATCGACCTAAGCTCGTCGAATGCGATATGTGCGATTCGTAAGTATTTCGGTTAATATATCCTACTAGCGACCCTATCCTATGAGAAATCGTGACCCGTAATCCTTCCTCTCATACCTTCCTTATGAATTATTCTAGATTATTGAAAACTGACATCAATTCCGTGCAGTAGCTTTTGAGTTAGCCAAAAAAGAGAAATATAAACGCGGCTGGACTGGTTCTATCTATACTAATATCAGTTAAGAGGAAAGATTTGATTGATTGTTTGCATTGAATAAACTCCGAAACTGCTGGACCGATTTGAATAATTATTTCACCATTAGCACCCTTCGCTATCCCTGATGAACATAAGCTGAAGAAAAAGGTTATTGTTCCGTAAGAAATTACGATTGTGTAACCAAGTTTGATTTGATTGACAATAGAGCAAAGTAATGTACTACAGTTTTATAGAAGACATCAATAACATAAGACATAAGAAACTATTATTGCATTTAGGTATATTTATAGAAAAAGCTATAGTCTATAGATCATTAGATTACACGACCGAATTAAGGCGGCTGGAATTGCAGAGCACAGCTAGTATTAAAAAAACATTGATATAATACTAGTATTATATCAATGTTTTTTTAATTACATAATAGGGGGTGTCAAAAGAGCCTACCGGACGCCCGAAAAGGGCAGTCATCGCAGCCCATGGACACCCATTTTTAATGAATGCGTTGCCGGCCTTTGATGGAGGAGTACTCTCTAAATTTTAATAGTTGGAGGTCGTTTCTCTCAGGGAAGATTCCGCGAGTCGATTCCACAGTTTTCTAGTTCGCAAAAGAAAGTGCCTTGTGAAACGGACCGTTACCTTGCTGGCTGGAAGTCTTCCACGGTGTTCTTCCACTTACGCTGTCGTGGACTTTTGTTGGCATTAGAACCTACAGATTTTTAACCAAATCATATATCTTTCATCGTCAAGGCAGCGTTCGTCAGAAACGTTTTCGTTAAACCGGTTTTTTTCTCCCCTGCTAATCTGGCTACCACGAAACTATGACACTCACAAATAACGTAGCTCTCTCTTGGTACAATAATTTCTAAATCGGTTCTGTAGATCCAGAGATTACCCTTAAATCCATACACCCACACACAATCTGTCAATCTTTACTTCTTTAAAATATTAGTATAGACATTGTAGGCAAATATTACCTGTTCACGTGTAAAGTTATAACTCCCCGTGGGTTTCGCGTTCTGTACAATATAAAACTGTTCCATTCGATTTAGTATTTCTTGAGTGTTATGTAATGATGTATGTTTCAGAAAATTCTTCTCAAAAAGTGATTTAACAATACATCAACAAAGACATTCCGATGAGACGCCGTTTCCGTGTGTGGCTTGTGACCTTAAGTTCAAACGGCTGATACTTCTAAAGAGACATGAGAGGGTGAATATTAATTTATCTAATTATTATAATTTTATTTATACAACAGGGGCCAAACTTCCAGTTCTCAACTAAAAAAGTTAAATTCTTGTAATACATTTAATGCCAGTTCTCAAAATAAAAAGTTAAAATATCTGTAATACATCTACCAGTTCTCAAACTAAAAAGGTTAAATTCTTAACACATTAAATGCGAGTTCTCAAACTAAAAAAAAAGTTAAATACCATTTATTGCTAGTTTTCAAATCAAGGTCGTAGAACAACGAACTGCTAATAAGCTCTCCACCTCTCTTTTGCTATCCTAATATACAATTAGTAACAGTTTCTTCAATCGAAAAAAATTAATAAATTTATATAGTTAATAATATAATAATTATATACCTAGTCATTCTTACATATAGTTTTTGTGTTTCAGTTGGTCCATTCGGACCTACCTCAACACAGTTGTCCGAGTTGTCCGGCCACATTTATCTCCGTTGAAGAATTAACGTCCCATCAAGAGAGACACACGAAAAGAGCGGAGAGGTCATATGTATGCGATGTGTGTGATAAGACGTGAGTAGTTTTGGTACAGGTAATATTCAGATAGATAAATAATGAAAAAAACAGACATTGTCGTTAAAGAAATGAATATATGAAAAATGATTTTGTATTTAAAACTTTTTCTTGAGGGTAGTCCTAAAAAAATGTGATGTACCCTCAAATTGGGCCAACTAAATTATTTTAATCAGTGACTTCAGTAATAGTTATGCAATGTGTGTGTTGCTTGAGTAGTTTTGGTTCAGGTGATATTCAGATAGATAAATAATGAAAAAAAATGCTTTTGTATTTAAGACGTTTTGTGTGTTTCAAACTTTGTGCCTTATTTATAAAAAATCTAACTGCCCTCTTAAACTAGAATCCAATCCAAATCCAGAAGTAAGTTAGTGAAAATGATGCAATTTATTATTTAGATAATTGATCTAGTTTTTATGAACAAAATACGAGGGTACTTAAAAAAAATTTAGGAGTACCCTCAAAAAACATTTTTAGTATGTCTCCCATTGGTTATACAATTATTTGTTTTCAGGTTCGCCGTACGATCGACTCTTCAAAGACATATCGCCGTATTACATAAACGCGAACCCCAATTCAACTGCGAATATTGTCCTGAGCGTGAGTCTCAGAATACAACCCTTCAATGATTCTTCTTATCTGTGGCGTTATTTTGTTTTGCTCATAGTATCTAAGTTTGATGTCTAGACAGTAATGTTTATGGAGTTAAATTCAGGCCTTTCGGCTTAAAAGCATTGATGCATTAAGTAATAGAATCATTGTATTGTTTGTTATATTTTTTTAAATTAATGAACTACCCTCTCTTTCAGATTTTTTTTATATTACCGTTAACAATTTTATTCTTATCATTCTTGTGTTTTGTGTTAGAATAACTAATTGACGTTTACAGTACATACTATTTAATATTATTTTTTCAGGTATTTCTATAGATAATAAAAATTTAAGCTATGAACATACGAACGACTAATTATGATTTTTTTAATATAATGCACATTGGTTTTTAAAAAGACTTGGCTGTGATATTTAGATAACAGGAAAAAACATCTTTTATTTCTAATTCTGGCTGAGATTTAGAGTTCCTGTAAGATTGTCGAAGCTCGCTCTAAGTTGACGTAATCGTATTCAGAAAGCTTGTCAATTGCGAAGTCTATTGTCTTTGGTTTAGATAATGCTTTTTTAATCATCTGGAAACCTAAAACTGCATTTTGAGATTCTAAGGAGAAAATAATTTCAAATTCAAAAGTCTGTCTTTATTTAATAACAGGAAAGAGCGCCATTTTAATTTTTAACAATTTATTTGTATGGCGAAGTTTGAGCCATGTAACCCTTGTATAACTAAATCCAGGACGTACTATACTCTGATTTTTAACTCCGTAGAATTCTGACAGCTATCATTTTATGACATGACATTTTTCAATTTCAATACGAATCTATACATACATTTTATTAAGTGCGGTGCTCCACATTTAAAGAGGTTTACGGTGATTCATAATTACGTCCCTTTTCATCACAAACAGTAAAAACGCACAAGTAAAGATAATTTTTTTTAAAGGTTTACTAAACCTGGAATGACGCCAGCTAAAGAATAAAAACAGTAATTAAAGTTAATTCGATATATTGTTCGTGATATTCATAATTCATTTGAATTAGTAAATATTTAGATTTACCTTTTTGTAGGTAAACATAAAAAATATGCAGCGCTTTTTTATTGCCCTCAAATGGGTCAAATTTGTCCCTTTTTCGGTGGAGAACTTTATTAGTAAAAATCAGAGTCTAAAGTACCATAATGCGTGGTGTTTGTCATGGTAGTGAGAGAGGTATTATCAAGACCGTAATTAAATCCGTGATCTCCTCCTACCCCTTCGGGAAAAAAAGCCCTGCCTAGTATCGCTCAAGTCGCCAATTTTCATGTTCTTATACTAAGCCAAACTTTGAGCGTTTCTATGAATATGATGGATGTTGTTACAGTGACTTTCGAAACTAACTCTAAGCTAAAATGGAGGGTAGATAATAAAAACAAATCCAGCTATCTCTTTCTAAACACCGATGTGTATTATAAGTAATTAGTTTATGAATCTTATAATTGTATAATTGCAGGTTTTGGCTCCGTGTCCAAATTGTCAAGACATTTGCGAACGCACGCGGGCGAGAGGCCGTACCCGTGCAAGTACTGCGATAAGAGTTTCATTAAATCGCAGCATTATACCAGGTGAAAACTTCAAAAATTATTTATTGGAGTTTACTCCTTAAGAAACGATTTGAGTTATAAGGCCCGATACGGAAATTTTATGAGGAGTAAAATCAAGTGTAACACGAAAAGTTGAGGCGTTATGTAGAAAGAGACAAACATATATATCTGTAGGATTGAACGTGTAAAAGAATGAGATGGAATACATTACACAGACTTTTCTATTTTGAATTCACGTTTTGACAGCCACGTTACAACATTGTCAGTGTTGACAGGTGTAAAAAATAAAAGTAGATTGTCTAGCGTGCCAGAGAGTTTTGTCAATAGTAATGGTCAGTGAAATTAAAACTAAAAAGATTGTTCATTCTTATTCTTCTCTTACTATAAAGGTAACTTTGGTCACAGAAAGAAAATCCTATTTAGGCATAGATGATGTAGGTACGTTTTATTACTACTACAAACATTTATATTATAAAAACATATATTCTTACCACCTTTAGTATGAAAATATGGTCGACAGCCACAGAACATTATCGCCATTTTATCGTTCCTAAGGAGTAAACTCCAATCGTGCGTCGTAGCTGACACACACACCCTTTTTTTTCTTAAAGTATATATGTTATTGGAAATAGCTTAAAAGGAATATTGAGAATATCCATAGCGCAAAATCACCTGCATCATGAGCATATCCCACATCCACACCTTCACACCGTCACACAACAATTCAACAATTTTTAGTGTACTTGTTTGTTATATATATATATTGTTAGCTGTAGAATTATGAAATAAATAAGTAACAAAAAAATATTATACTAAAATAGATAGTCATAGATACAATAATAAATTTAAAAAGTTACTGCCTATATTCGAGTACTATAATAAAGTTTACATTTAATTTATGTTATTACATTTAATATTAGTACCTCCGACAGGAGTGAAACCCTCCAAATTCTTCCATTTGTCTCTCATTTTCGGTTCTATTTTCCAATATTTCCCGCTATCTCTTATTTCATCTTCGGTTTCTGTGCGTCATTTTTTTTTTCTTCCAAGTACCCATTTCCGAAGTCAATTATTTTTGTATGCTTCGTTTTGCACTGTTTCAAATTGGAATATACGTAGTCGGTCCCAAAGTTCTGTCATAAATGGAAATAATGATAAAAACAAAAGTACTGATCAGTTTGTAATGAGTGATATATCAATTCTTAGTAAATTAATTAAGGAATAAAAAAAGCATAAAAATATTCGAAATAACCTCCCTCATTTTTAATACAGGCCCTTAAGCGTCGCGGCCAGTCGTCTATCGCAGCACGCACCATATTCGTGTCCATTTCAGTCACTGGTTTTTTTAAAGATGACTTCAGATTCTCCAAATTTTCATGAGGTTTATCACAGACCTTCCTCTCTAAGCCCTGTCATAATTTTTGGTCCAAAGGATTAAGGTCCGGACTGGAGGAAGGCCAATCCTCATGTCTAATTAAGACGATGTTTTGACGCTCAAACCAGGCTTTAGTGGTCTTGGCTTTGTATGCAGACGCAGAGTCCTGCTGGAACACGAAGTGATGTCCCGCAAATAGGGTGCTGGACATGTCTTTGACAAGGCGATACAAAACCGTCTCTTGGTACACTGTAGCACTGGTTTTGACCCCCTTTTCGAAAAAATTAACCTCAGTTAGCCCGTAATAGGACACTCCCAACCAAACCATTACTGATGATGGATGATGTCCATGTTGCACCCTTGGAACTTTATTTTCAGCTTCTTCAGAACTCTTAGCGTACACTGTATAATTCTGTTTATTGTACTTCTCTTCAATATCGAAAAATTTTTCGTCCGTAAAGAGGATATCACGGTGTCGGTTTTTCGCGTACCGCTGAAACAACACCCGCGATCTCTTAAGCCTTATTGCTTTTAGACGAGCATTAAGTAAGTGCCCACTCTTTTTTTGTATGCTCGTAGACCAAGATCTTCATTTAAAACCTTTTTTACTGTTTTCCTACTGACACCCATCTGCAAATCCATCAACTTCTGTTTTCGGACAGGATTTCTTACTATCCGCGCCTTGATAGCTTTGATTACTGCTGGTGTTCTTGCGGAGCGTGGCCAGCCAGTCCTTTTCTTGTCCTCAACACTGGAGACTTCAAGGTACCTATCAATAGTACCGTACACAAACCTAAGCGTTATATTCAAATTTTTGAGCAACTTGAAAATGGTACTCGGCGAGTGTCCACAGCGGTGCAACGCAATAACAACTATTCGGTTTACTTTCAATGTCCACTCCATCGTGAAAAATTACGGAAAGTTATTGTTTTTTGTATTAAAACAATAATCAAACATTCCAAAATAGAATGCAATAATTTTTTTATAAAATCCTGCTCGAAATGTAGAAATAATGTGCTAGTGACAGAACTTTGGGACCAACTACGTATATAAAAAGTCTCTTTCTCAATAACACTTTATCTTTCCTAGTCTTTCTTTAAATAACTGTGTCTAATAGTTTTTCGAGTTTACGATTATAGTTAAAACAATCGACATCACAGCAGACTTTGACAGGTGACAATCAATAATTTATTTTTTTAATGACTCTGGCACGGTTTATGCATTAGCCAGCGTCAAGTATGAGATTTTTATCATTCGTGCTTTTTGCCTTAGAAATTCGATCATGTCCTCAATGTACGGTTTAGGCACTCGCCCGGTACCGCACAACCCTCCCAAAGGCCGAGAACAAATTTAAATTAAATTAAAACTTGCCCTCGAACCGGGAATCGAACCCGGTACCCCTCACCTAGCTGCCACTTAATAAGACCGCTAGGCTATGAGGCCCCCCAATCAATAATTACAATTAAATGTTGCGATTTGTATAACTTATGTCCAATAGTTTTCCTCAATTTATTATGTTCAATACGTATTCCGTTAATGTATTATAAATAATAATAACAGCCTTTATTCAGATACATTTAAACAAATTTCCGTTTTAATCCTCTTCTAGTGTATCTGTGTGACATTTTTTGTCAAAGGCCTCCTCCAAATCCCACTATTCCTCTCTGCACTGTGCCAGTCTCTGCCATGTACCACCTGCTGATTCTTTAATATGGTCTATCCACCTTCTGAGTTGTCTCCCTCTGTTTCGTGTGCTGTACCTTGGCACCAGTTTAATACTTTTTTGCTCCACTTCTTTGTTCCTCTTGCCATGTACCCCGCCCATTTCCACTTTAGGTTATTTATTGTTATTGTAACATCTGTTACCTTAGTTATTTTTCTTAACGCTGTATTCTTTATTTTGTGTCTTCTTTTCTTCCCTATCACACATCGTTCCATCGCTCTTTGACACACCTGTAGCTTTTTTCTGCGCTTTAGTAAAGCTTAGGTTTCCTTGAAAAGCGGTGCCGTTAACTAACAGCCGTCATTTTACGGTTGTTAATAATGGCCGTCTTTACTTTTTAACATAATGCAAAAAAACATCATTTTCGCTCGTCCAAGTCACGGTTCCATTCATGGTATTAATTGAATATGGGCACCGCTACACGCAAATACGTTGAACTAATGTTTATCACCGCTATGACGGCCGTCATGCAAATGACAGCACCGCTATTTGACGTTGCGGTGACACTCAACGTTCTCTAGGAAACCTACTCCGATGTTATTTATAGACAACGTATGGGTGACGTCACCCAACGTTACATTACGGCCGTTGGATAACGGCACCGCTTTTCTAGGAAACTAGTGTATAATAGCTGTAAATAATATTTAAAATATTACAGACATCTCCGTGTAAAACATCGCGATGAAATGCGCACAGGCCAAAGCCCCGACGAGCTGTACAGGTGCGAGCAATGCGAGGAGACCTTCGCGAACCAGGACGAGCTGATCTTCCACTCCGCGATCCACGCGACGCAGAATCTCACATGCCCCCTGTGCCAGGAGAAGTTTGACAATGTGGATGATGTCACCACCCATATAAAGTCCCATGTTAATGGTGAGTGGTGAGCCCATGCCCTTGTATATTCTCTCGGCGATGACGATCCTCTGATTTAACTCTATAAAAACCTTCCTCAGGAATAATTTAAAAAAAGGGTGTGTGTACTTATGTACGCGCGTAAGAAGTTATACTTCTTTGGCATTATTAAAAATCGTTCTTGATTGCATGCAAATAATTAATTACAATTAAATAATCAAAGACTGGAAAAGGAGTCATTATAGTCAATAAAGTTCAGTTTACATTTGAAAAATTAAATAAATAAATATTTATTATTATTCTCTTACATTAAGTGTAAAATAAATTCGAATGTTGTTTTTAAATTATGTCCAATGCCGTAGCATCTTTCGTGGGCAACTTCATTCTTTTAATTTTGTGTCACGGTGCGCGCATCGTAAAATTTCACTCTCTTCAATTTTTCATAACGCGCCTAAAGAAGTATAACTTAAAAAAAATACTCTATTGGTCCAGTAGTCTTCTAGTTTTCTGCTTAGCTTTAATTTTTATTTATGTAGAAGATGAATAATTTGTGGAATAAATATGTTTCAGGTGTTGAATTTATGTGCGAGTATTGTGAGCTGGTCTTCACCACTAAGGAGAAGTATGACAACCACTTGATGTTGGCGCATGAAGATGAAGTTCATATTGTACGTATTCGCCAAAATCTCTATTGAGATTGGCCGTTTATAGATCCGCTTTAAAATTAAAATAAAATTTGTTTATTATGGAATATAAGATAGAGGTATCACTTATTCCATGTCATTAAATTTGTATCGGTAGACATCCCTACTCATCGGCAAAGAAGACAGAGGGTGTAGGCCGAGAGAAAAAGCTGGCGTAAAAAACTCTCGGTACTCTTTTAATAACAAATCATCAAACAACACTTATTTTAAAACAAACATCGCAAATTAATTAGAAGTAGCCTGTCTAGCACTAGTCCCAGGCCCTTTTATCAACTAGATAATCGTTGACTTTAACCCTTATTTACGTATAAAATATGATTGTTATTTTTATTGTTTCGAGTCTTGCAGTATCGCCCCATTTTGAGTAAAGGCTTCCTTACCATTCCATTCGGATCTATTGTTCTATCCATTTCTCATCAGAATTGTCTTTATGTCGTCAGCCTTTGTGGTTGCCACATTTCTATTCACGGTCAAGGAGGTCCCGACACGTAAACGATCCGGATGATCCAATGACCGTCGCTAATCACATATTAAAAGCCGCCCGCGCATAGACAAAATAAAAAACCGCCTTCACCGGGGCAAGCCGACGTACCTTACTTCGTACTTCGCTCACTTCAGTGCTTTCCTCGTGCCCTTCTGTAGGGATCATCGATGTTAGAAAAACATCGATGTTACGATATTTTTGGTATACGTAACGAATTTTTATATTTAAATTATATTATTGTTTTGCTTAATTTCTTTTTATTATTTAATTAAAATGCCTGTTATATTTTTTAACATAAGTGAAATTATTTGTAGACTCTAGGCGATGAAGATTCGTCAATGGAAGTGGATGGAGAGGATTATGAAGATGATGCGAGCATTAATGGTATATATACAATTTTACGGGATTGAAACCCGTTTATTTACTGGATAAGGGACATGAAAGTTCATTACTATGAATTTAAATTTAATACAGTTGTCAAATATTTTTCATTTTGATTTATTAACAAAAGAATCACCCTTAAATCTGGAGCTGTCAAATCATTATATCAATGTAAAATTCGACAAATTGGATAACAAAAAAAAATGGCGATTAAAAAGCGTGGCGGAGTTTATTGCCAGTTCTTCTCTTCCGTTCTACGCTATTGATTTGAGAACTGGCACTAAATGTAAAGCTAGAAGCATTTCATATACAGTTCTTTTTTTTTGACGACCATAAGTGTACATTGTGTGACCTATATGATTAAATGATTTTTGGATTTTGACGAGATTGTATACTTTTTTAAAATATTATTTTTGCAAGAATAAGGAAAAAAATAAAAACCTTTGTAATTTTTTGCAAATACTCTCGCTTCACACGAATGTTGTTTTCAGTCAAAGAGGATGGTGACAGTATGGTCATTGAAATAAAGAAAGCGGATGCTGACAGTTTAATGGTAAGATTAATTTTAACTAACTATAATAATATTCAACCTTTTTAGGTCTTGGCCTCAGATTTCTGTATCTGTTTCATGATCATTTGTCAATCTAATAGGCAAGCAGGTGATCAGCCTCCTGTGCCTGACACACGCCGTCGACTGGCAAGCCGGTTTCCTCACGATGTTTTCCTTCACCGTTCGAGCGAATGTTAAATGCGCCAAAAAAAAGTCCATTGGTGCACAGCCGGGGATCGAATCTACGTCCTCAGGGATGAGAGTCGCACGCTGAAGCCACTATGCCAACACTGCTCTTACTAGATATACGCGTACAAATAATATAAGGACGTACAGTACAGCGGACGAACTTTATCGACTCCAGTCGTAATTTTTGAAGTGAAAACTTCTTTAGCGGCATTGTACACTTTTTTTGGAATGGGTAAAAAATGTTAAACTCGCGTCAGGACACCTGATCGAAATTTCGTAAGACGGATGGAGAGTAGACAGCTGGCGCGACGTATAAATTAACATAAATTGTCATGTTTGTGAACGATAGCGCAATAAATAAATATTGTATTCTACCACATAAATGATAGTACTTTTATACTGATAATTAAAGCAATTCCCTAACCATTCCTAAATATGGTTTTCTTTAATATATTTTAACTTAGATTACAGTGAGATGGGTGCATTTGCCTGAATTTTCTCTTTCATGTCTGCAATCTGTCTTTTCTTTATAGTGGGCATACAAGATGCTTATCTGATGTTAATTGCCCATGGACACTCCAGAAATTTTATATTGTATTGTTTTTAGTGGTTCGTTGGGTCTACATACCGAATCACAGTTTTCTTAAACCAGTATGCAGGGGGTCAATTTGTATTTCTAGTTATTGTATAAAGTAATAATAATAAAATAATTGATTTTTAAATATGAAATTGTAAATTGCAGATGTCCGAAGAGCTCCAAGCTGATGAAGATGAGGTTAAACAGGACACTAATTCGGAAGGTAAGTGTTTTGACCCAAGGGTACAAGGGTAGGATCTGGCTAATGAAAGAAGATAACGAAAAAGCGCGGCAAATTTTTCAAGCGCAAAAAATTGTGCGTGTACTAGGTGTACACACGTAAGAAGTGAAACTTCTTTGTGATCTTATTTTTCGAAAAATGATCTACTATATGCAACTTTACAGAAATTCGTTAAATTAGATATAGTTTAACAAAAGGCTTTTATTATCATAGACATGAATACAAATATTTCATTTTACCTTATTACTACGAAGATTATTATAGAATTTCATTAATTGTAATAGAATTATTACTATCATTGAAAAACGTGACGATTTGCTACAAAATTTCTCCCATACGTCGATAAAGAAGTTTCATTCCAACGCCGATAAAGAAGTTTGACTTCAAAAAGCAACATGGCGCGTAACCGAAAAATGTGACGCGTAACGAAAAAATGTTACACTAAATTTTTTTTCCAACCTCGATAAAGAAGTTTCACTTCAAAAATTAGTATGGTATCCCTAAAAATTTGATATATTTTGTGGATTAAACTTACTTGATACTTTTATTTTATTATTTTTTACATTGATAGTAACTGTATTTCTATGAAATTAAATACTATACGTATTTAGTCTTTTACTATTGATATTTAAAATGACTAGCATTGCATGGAAAACTAAAACTAGATTTATTATAAAACACAACTTTATTCGAAATAAACAAAAGAAAAATCCAAAAAATGAATAAAACAAAGTTTAGGCTATTGTACCTGTTAACTTTTCGGAAAAAATATATAATACATTTAAATATGAGTAATTGCATGAAGTATACAATAAATCATACTAACCTAAGAAATTCAATGACATTCTGTGTTGCCATCCGAAAGTTTTCAAATAATTCAATTATCTTCTTTCATTAGCCAGACTCTAGCTTCATTTTAAATGATACTGTCAACATTATTTAACTAAATACTTATATATGTCGAAAGACGAGTTGAGATCCCAAATCTTGTAAACCACTGAAGGGATTTAAATGAAACTTGAAACCCTAAGTTGGCACTCTTATTTAGGGCAGTTTCCAAACATGTTCGTGCCATCTCAGCATAAAGCTCTAAAATTCTTATGTATCATACTTAATCTCTATGTATAAATTCCTTGTTTCACAATGTTCGTTCCCATACTCCTCCGAAACGGCTCGATTCGATCGGCTTGGTTATAAATTGCAGTAAATATGCTTACGTAATATTTGACTAAGAATAATATAAGAACATGAAGATTAAAACAATATCTTTAGCGCATCTCATTTGCTTATTATTTAAATATGTTTTCAGCTAGCGAAACTGAGTTACCAGAACAAGAGTTGGTCCAAATCGAGGCCACAATAGAGAAAATCACCGCGAAGCCCTCAGAAGAGATTATTCAAAGTGTAGCGCCTCTAGCGGAAATAACTCGAGTTAAACCAAATGCTGGAAGTGATAGTCAGGTAACTGTCTTTTTTTGAAGTTATACTTTTGACGCATTACGGAAAAATTATGAGAGTAAATTTTTACGATGCGCCCGCACACCGTCACAAAAAACCGACACCCGCATACCGTCACAAAAATCGACACCCACATACCGTCACAAAAAACTGACACCCGCATACCGTTACAAAAACCGACACCCTGAATCTGTTCAAACGTCGGTAAAACAGTCTGGGCCGCTAGTTGGCGCTTGCTCTATTTTATCGACGAGTTGCATTCTGTCATGGCGTAGTGTTTTTCAGAGTCGTGTTTATTTAAACCAAAATAATGATTTCTATACGAGAAAACCGGTTCCAATGTAATAAAAACATAATGTTTATTGTAAAATATCATGATTAGTACATATTATATCGTTTCGATTGGAAGTGACCATTTAAATGGACAAGAAAAATGCAATTCGAAGTGGGAAACGTCCCTCTTAAAGTGCTCGAAGAAAATTGTTACGCCAAAGAAGTATAACTTCTAACGCGTGTATATAAATATACACACTTTTAAGGATACATCACATTGTCTTTGGTTTTCCTCAGACTAGAATTAAAGTAATTTTTTTTTAATTTCTTCTAATCTTAGTGGTATTTGTGTATTAAAATTATTTTTATTAAATTTCAGATTATTGTTGCTCGCCACGTTGAGGAGAAACGAAAAGTTGAAGTAGTGGAAACAGGTGAAAATTATTCAAATTATTAATCTATACGTATACGTAAATCCTTCTAGAAAAGAGCGTACAAATTTTTAAAAGGCAACGCACGTGTGAGCTCTCTGGCAATGTGTCTATGGCCGATATAACAAAAGTGGCGGAGAGTTTATTGCCAGTTCTTCTCTTCCGTTCTACGCCCTTGATTTGAGAACTGCACTAAATGTAAAGTTAGAAGCATTTAATATGTATTTCTTTGTTGATGTTCATAAGTGTACATTGTGACCAACAGAGAAAGCTCCTGCCCATTTATATAAAAATATCTAGTACGCGTTATTATTATTATTAATTACATTATTAACACATGTTATTATTATTAAATTTGTGTCGATCCAACTGTGGTCAGAGCAATGTTGGCCTAGTGGCTTCAGCGTGCGATTCTCATACCTGAGGTCGTAGGTTCGATCCCCGGCTGTACACCAATGGACTTTTGTTCTATGTGCGCATTTAACATTCGCTCGAACGGTGAAGGAAAACATCGTGAGGAAACCGGCATGTCTTAGACCCAAAAAGTCGACGGCGTGTGTCAGGCACTGAAGGCTGATAGATTGACAAATGATCACGAAACAGATTCCAAAATCTGAGGCCAAGACCCAAAGAGGTTGTAGCGCCATTGAATTTATTAGTTCCAACTGTGCGACTAAATATTATGTAAAAAATTGATGTACTAGGCATCCCATCTTCCCATTTGTCCCTCCCAAAAGAACACGTTTTGGCCAAAACCGATATCCAGATTTAATTATTTGATTCAATGAGTTAGGTTAGTTTTCATATCAATAAAAAATTGTACTGAAGACTTGGCTGTGTGGGCATAGTTCCCTTTGCCTACCCAGAATGGGTGAAAAAAAAACTATTTTACAGTTGGCGCCATTTTCCAAAAATGTTCTTTGCGAGTTTAGTTGTTTGTTATATTTAATATACATGAACAATCATATGAAATCAATAATAGTTTGTCTCAAACAGTAAATATGCAACCTAAATCTTATCCAGTTAGTATAAAAAAACTGTACCAATTTCAATGTATATGTGAATTATAATTTTTATAAGAAACTAGCTGGCCTAGCGAACATCGTACCGCCTAACATTCGATTCTTTATTTTTTTTAAATACTTATTCTGTTATTCGGGACACCGGTCTAGCTAGTAAGACAAAAAAAAGAAAGTCGATAAGACAACAAATACATTATGTCAAAAAATAAAAATTTACCTTCCCGGAACCCCTCCACTAAGGCCCTTTCTCCACTGCTCCGGTCCGGCGTCGGATACCGGAATGAGTCATGATAAAAATATCGGAAGGCCGGATAGCGCTTCTCCACTATATCCGATCCGACAATAATCGATACTTGTATATTTATCATGCAACACTTATATTAACTAAAACCCACATACTTTATTTTATTAATAAAACGTTCTAAATCCTGAATATTTTATTGTGCTGGCAAGTTTATTACTTTTTTTATATTGTCTTTCTTAAAATATTATAATCTACTTAATAAATCATTCACTAATACTATGGTATAAAAATATAAATAAATAGTCCAGGTAAGAAACTATAAATAAACCTGTGAATAATAATTTATAACCCCTTGGATACTTGGACCGATAAAACGTCGCGTTCCGATCTAGCAAGTTATCGCATCGTTAAAAACCGGATGCCGGAGTAGCGGAGAAGTACGTAAGTACTGTTGTATGTTTCCAAATCGGATCGGTAATTAACGTTTGCCGGACTGGTGCAGTGGAGAAACGGCCTTACACTTGAACTTTATGATATGGTATTAAAGTTCAAATTGACTTTTAAGTATTATTACATATATTTTGTATGGGAATATAGAAAAGTGTTGATTTTAGACTCAATTTTTTTTAATTTTTATCTCCGTAAGAACCATCCTCGTACTTCAAGGAATATTATAAAAAAAGAATTGGCCAAATTGGTCCAGGCGTTGTTGAGTTATGCGCTTACCAACACATTTTGCGATTCATTTTTATATTATAGAAGATAAATGATTAGTTAGTTGAGTTTATTGTGTTTTTATTATTTTATTAAATTGATTAATATTTACGCAATTGTATAAGAAATAGTTGTTCAGTACACGTGCGGACCGTACTGACCGTCAGTAAAATGGTCTGGGCCAAAAGGCACCAGACCAAGAGGTCGACCAAACGCCAGATGGGCAGACGAAATTGTAGCATGCGCGGGCGGAAGTTGGCTAGACAGAGCTAACGACAGAGAAGGATGGAATTCCTTGGAATTCCTTTTACCCGAATGGGGTCCATGCATTAAATTATATAAATAAAAATTATTATATTGAAATAAAATAATTTAAATAATAATCAAACAATAAATAAATTAAACAAATAATAATTACGAAATAGAATTTATAATTAGAAATCAAATAATTCATACGAGCGTACCAACTGTTATTGATTATTATAGACTAATAAGTACCAAATTGTATTGTTAAATATGTACTATGCATGGAATTAATTAAAGCTTTATTATTATTATTACACGTGCGGAACCGCCATTGCAACTTATTCCGACTGTCAACCCTCACCTTCGGCTGCGCCTCGGCTCGGCGGAGGTTTGTCGGAACTCTTTGCAATGACAGGCTTTCCGCACTCGTCATGAAATATACTATTTTAATTATTATTGATTTACAGAACCGGTGAAGAAAGTGAAGGCGAAAGCGGAGTCCACAAACAGCGCAGGTTATACGGATAAATCCTTACGGCTGTTGGAAAAGGAGCTGCAAGATCTTAAAAGGGTATTATTTTTTATTGTTTATATGTAGTTTATTAAGACAGAAATTCTATCCCCTTCACACTACACTAACAACATATGTCGGTCTCTTTCGCACTTATTGTAAGATTCTTCAGTAGAGATATTTTTTGAGTATATTTTCTTGACATATGACTTTGGGAGGTAACACACAAAAAGCTTATTTATTCCTTAGTCAGAAGGTAGCTAATCAAAAACAACTATATGTTTAAATCACATTATTTTAAGTCTTAATTGTTTACTACTTTATTATATGTTTTTTGTAATTATGTAATGTTGCTATGATAATTATTATAACACTAGGCAGACTTTAACAGCACTTGATTTTTACTTGGAGTTCAAGAAACAACAACATTATAAGAATATCAGAATGACCAGAACCCAAAAATCATGTAATAATAATTGATACAGCTGTTTTGTCATTTAAAAAAGGTATAGTTTTATATATTAAAACTAGCAGACCGGCCAAGCGTTGCTGTGGCTAAGGTTTTTGTTATATTACATAGTAGCAAACTATTCAAGGAAAACGGTAGGAGAACACCAGTCATGGGGACCACCATGCTTTTTTGGTGGTTTTGCCATTAAATTGTAGCTTATGTTATGTTATTCTGTTAGAATTGTGACTATCAAATAATAAACAAATATTTTGCAATAAAATAATATTACGCGTATAAATTGAGATGTAAGCTATCCTATCTTTTAAGTTCGATCAAACTGCACACGGTGTACTAATTTGATTGATCGGTAGTTCGGTAGTTTAGGAGCCCATAGCGGACAAACTATGTGACGCGTAATTTATATATGTATATTAAGATTTAACTTTTTCTATTTCAGACCAACGCACGACCGGACATTGGGAAATCGACCCCCAAAATTCAGGAACTTCCCAAAATTCGACGCACTCAAGTTATAACATCAACTCCTAAATTAAAGTAAGTAAGAGATAGATAAACAGAAAAGTAATATTTCAATTCGAGCTAGGGTCCTTTAAGATAAGAGCGTACCAATTGTAAGGCCAGCAACGGACTTGCGAGCCCTCTGGTATTGAGAGTGTCCATGGGCCTTCTGCCCGTTTGCCACCTGTTCTATATTACAAAAAATATAGAACAGGTAGTACGTAGTGATGTTATGTATATTATGTTTAATATTATATACTTTATTATTTTATTTTTCTCGACATTATCGTATTTAGATAGTCTGTAAGGATAATGTATGTATTTCTGTAATATGTATATAAATAAATACTGAATATATTTCTATTTTTCATATATTTGTCTATTGTTTATACAATACTTAATAATTAAATAATATATACGTTAAAGATTATATATTTTTCATTTAAATGTTACAGGTTAAACGAAGAAAGGAAATCATTTTTAGTTAAATCGCCAGCGGTCGAGAGAAAAACGTTTGAAAAACGTCTCACAAAAGAGAATAAAGAGCCGCAAAAAGATGACAAGAAGGAAAAGGATGAAGAGAAGAGAGAAGTTGAGAAGAAGGATAAAGAAGTAAAAGAAATACCAAAGGTAAATTTATGAATAAAATTCATCTTATACATTCTTGAAAAGGTTTTTTTACACTAGCAGACCCGACAGACGTCCTGCATGATATTTCAAAGTATGAAAGTTCCGACTGCAGCGCCATCTGCCAGGCTGATTTGTGAATCTAAACCATCCAGGGCGCCACCCGAACGCATACAAAAAAATTCATTTAAATCGGTCCAGCCGTTTAAGAGGAGTTCCAGTACACACATACGTACACGTACTGGGAGTACGTCGACATGTCGAGTGGGTGTGTAATAAAAAAATATATAGCAATTCAATTGTAGGGAATTAAAAATGTGTTGCTGAACAAAACAGATTTATTAAATTAGGTTTAAGGACTCCCACACAAAACTGCGATGCGAATTTCTGCGATACGATTTAGTCAAATTCAAATTTTTTTTTACACAACGTTTGTAAGGAGCTGCAACCATTACACCATGTTCCACATGACATTTTAAGTAATTAATAATAATAACATAAATAAAAACAAAGACTTGTCCCCTATCAGCAGGAGGCATGGTGAAATAGGAGCACGCACTTACATTCTCGTGGGAACAACACGCAAACACATAGTCGAAATAATTAACATCACCGCATACACGAATTCAAGTACGACCAGTCACCACAAGTAGCACCCGTTCACGAGTATGACGCATGGCCAGCTATCGGCCCCCTCGCCATATTTTAGGGAGAGAGACAACCCGACGCATGGACGCCGCCACAAGCAATGACATTTAAGCGAGCATGACGATCCTTGAAATGTGGACTTGGCTACATAAGAAAATAATAATAATACTGAAATAATTGGATACTACATGGATCACGGTTTGTTCCCACTTTACATTAAAACAGTCGTGGATGTTGACGATCGCCCCCAGATATAATATATACTGGAGCAACTCATATCCAAGCACTAGTGCGACAAACCGTTTGGTAGGGTGACCATTCCTTCGTAGTCAGCCGTACTGGACGTGATTTTAGGACGCGTAAGATGGATCGCAAAAAGATAATTGCACTGCTGTTATTGTTAAATAGATATAAAAGAAAAAGAAGATTCTGGGTTCATCCATTTATTACGATTATGAACTCTGATGCAAACATTCACAGACGCTCTTCCACGCATCTTGCTTGATAAATTTATTTTTATAATGTTCATCACTTGTGTCTCAAAGTACGGGACGCTCCTCAATTAAAAATATAAAAAAAATCTATATCATATTCCGCAATTTTTTATAAACAAAGAAGGCGGCGGAGGCGCCGCGCGTCTTTTTCTAAAGCTGTCTCAGAGCGGACTAAAATGGCGTCACCAAGGATGACGTAATATCGCAAGAATGTGCGATGCGAAGCAGATCGGAACTTCTTGCGGTGCGATCGTGCGAATTCGCAGATATTTGCGATGCGATGCGAATTCGCAGTTTTGTGTGGGAGCCCTAATCAAGTTAATTCTGATAAAACATAATCTTGAAAAAGTACACGACACTTATATGTTACAAAAAGAAATGAAGAAATACAATTTCTTTACAAATATATAATTTAACTGTAGTGTTGGTTTCCGTATATATCTATTTTTAATAATTTAATATTAAATTTACGATTTAGTATACTTTTTATTATTATACTTTATACATATATGAGACTCTAAACTCGCTTCTTTAAGCGTTATATTAAAGTAATAATACTTAAATGATCCTAATCCTTGGGATTGATTTGCTCCAGTTCAAACAATTTGTATGACTCAAAACTTAGCGATTAAAAAGAGTGGCGGAATGTTTCTTGCCAATTCTTCTTCTTACCCGCTCTACTCCCTTGACTTGCGAACTGGTAGTAAATGTAAATTTACAATTAATTTAACTTATTTTGACGTTCATAAGTGTACTTGTTTACCTATATGAATAAAGATATTTTGAGTTTATATAGAATGATTTTTGAAGTTATACTTCTTGAGGCGCGTTATGATAAATTGATGAGAGTGAAATTTTACGATGCGCGCGCACCGTGACACAAAATTAACAGAATGAAGTTGCCCACGGGAGATGCTACGGCATTGGACATAATTTAAAAACAACATTCGAATAATAATAGAATTTATGTTACACTTAATGTAAGAGAATAATAATAAATATTTATTTATTTAATTTTTCAAATGTAAACTGAACTTTATTGACTATAATGACTCCATTTCCAGTCTTTGATTATTTAATTATAATTAATTATTTGCATGTAATCAAAAACTATTTTCAATAATTCCAAAGAAGTATTACTTCTTACGCGCGTACATAAGTACACGCACCCTTTTTTTTTAACACGTTCACCCCAGTTTTGTCGTATATATCGTGTACCTCGGGTACAGATATACATAATGTAATGTGTATAATGTGTATACTGTATATATCCTCCATATACGAAAACAATATGAATTAATTAATTTTGAACGCATTAAAAAAATTACAGAGCCTAGTGAAGAACGGAAGCGAAAAAAGCGATGAAGTGCGTCGGTCCAGTCGGCCATCTCGCGTGAAGGACTACGCCAAGATGGTGGGAGACCATTTGAAGGGCAATTCGGAGGAGGACAGCGATTCCGAAGAAGATGATGAGGAATATATTGAGGGTAGTTTGCCAGAGGTAAGTTTAATCACTGCAGAACTCTTTCGTGGACGCCTAGACTTCCCAGATCTCCTTTCCAAAGTTACAAAGACGGAGAACAAGATATACTTCTGTTTTCTCAGTTAAAAAAATAAAATAAATCAGTGGCGCTACAATCTCTTTAGGTCTTGGCCTCAGATTTCTGAATCTGTTTCATGATCATTTTTAAATCTAATAGGCAAGTAGGTGATCAGCCTCCAGTGCCTGACACACGCCGTCGACAATTTGAGTCTAAGGCAAGCCGGTTTCCTCATGATGTTTTCCTTCACCGTTAAATGGACATATAGAACAAAAGTCCATTGGTGTTCAGCCGGGAATCGAACCTACGACCTCAGGGATGAGAGTCGCACGCTGAAGCCGCCAAGCCAACACTGCTCTAATTTTTTAATTATTTATTACAGATAAAAATAAAGCGCCGTACTAGCTTTAAAGCCAAGGTTCAGCCGGTTACATCGCCCTCGCCTGGTGTTACCCCGACCCCGAGGAAGAGGGGCAGACCGCGAAAGGACGCGAACAAAGAAGTGTAAGATATTTAATATAATCTCATTCGGTAATATTTTAATTATGAAATGAAATACAAGCCTTTATTGGCATATTTTATTTACATACTTCTGTAAGAAAATTAAAAAATTATATTAACGCATTATTCTCCTAACAAAACAATGCTTTAAAATATTTTTGAAGTTATACTTCTTTAGGCGCGTTATGAAAAATTTATGAGAATGAAATTTTACGATGGGCACCGAGCGTGCGTGAGCGAGATGGGAATAAGACAATCTACAAGTAAAAAGAAATAGAATATGCGTGACGTTAGCAGCTATGCCAAGAATTTTGGATGACCATAACGACATTTGTAGTACCTTTTAAACAGGAGTTTTATTTTTTCAAAGAAATTTAGCAATGCTTTTTCACAAAGACCTATTGTTACTTAGTTAAAAGGTTATGAAACATACCTAGTTATTAAATTAAATTAATAATTTAATAAAATAATAATTATTATTAATATTAATTAATAATTAAATAATATACTAAATATTAAATATTGTTAAATTATTAACGCTAAATATTTATTATTAATTATTTAATATTTAAAAAAATAAAGAAAGCCAAAGAAGTATAACTTCTTACGCGCGTACATAAGTACACGCTCCATTTTTTTTTTATTATTAAAGTACAATGTGTCCCGACCAAGGAGGTTTCAATTCAATTTGAGTACACATAATCTGTGGTGAGCGCGCAACCAGTGCGTTGCCGAGCCCGAGCCAATAGACCAATAACAGACTTTTTAAATTTTGGCGCTATTGCGTACATACGAATTTGAGTAATATTTTGTTGGATAAAACTTTAGTAGCAAAAATGACATGTCCGATTTTGTTGAATTTGAGAATGGTTTAGAGATTTTTTTTAGAAGATAGTTCACACCAATTGACCTAGTCCCATGCTAAGCTGGTGAAGCTTATGTTATGGGTACTAGGCAACGGATATACATACATATTATAGATAGATAGACATATAAATACATATTTAAATACCCAAGACCTAAGCACAAGACCAAATGCTCATCACATCGATGTTCGTCTCAGCCGGGGATCGAACCCGGGACACATTGATTCGCAGTCAGAGGTACTAACCACTAGGCCAATGAGTCGTCTCGATAATTTGATGATTGGTATGTATGTAGTCTAATTTTGATTTTTACGCCATATTGAAACGTATACTTTAGGTTTGTGCCTCACATTTCTGTATCAGGTTGGAAAAATATCATGAAACAGATATCTGAGGTGCAGAGCAATTTTTTTGTATCTATATTACATTCTTATTTGTCTATTTTCAGACCGGAGAAAATAAAAAAAGATGACACTACAAGTAACGATGCGAAAGAGATTGAAGAGAAAAGTAATAATGGAAAGAAAGTTGACAAATCGTCTACTCCAACGGTAATGTTTTTTTTATTTCTAAAATATTTGTGAAAAGAAAACAATAATTTTCGAAAGATCAATATGCCTAAACGTTTTACATATACTTATATATTCTAGAACGTAAATCAAATTTAAATCTAGTTCTAAAAGCTGTCAATCCATGTTTCTTTAAGATGTTAGACATACTGCCTACTAAGGGGTGGGTGGTTGGTGAGCAACCCAAGTGTTCTCCAAGAATTCAGGTTCTTTGTGCCTAGGGGATATGCGATGGCGAAGGCCAAGGTTGTTAGCGATACCAAGGGCCAGAACCAGTCTGTTGCACAAATCCCCAACGACGTTGCGCCTACTGAATACTGTCTCCGATACTATCGACATATGTATATGTTCGCAGTAGCGATATTGTGTATATTACTAAGTATGTCAGAAGTGAAACTTCTTTGGCAAACTAATTTTTAAGTCTTGTTCATGTTTATACAAATCTAAAACTTTAGATTTCCGAGACTTAGCGGGAGGGAAAAGAGAAGATATGTTAGGAATTTAACTAATTTAATTGTCATTAAAATATTAAAAGTGTCGAAAATTAACACAAATTATAAAGTTAATAATTTCTTCAATAATAAAAACACGTGGCATTTTAATTTACAATTCGTCATTTGAGATTTCAATAAATTATTTTGCATAAAATATAAAATACTAATTTTTCATAAATTCTCTTTACGAAATATTAATTTTAAAAATATAATTTCTATAAGGTAACTCACCCTTCTCACTCTCAATCGCTCTCTCCCTTTCGACAAAAGCCCTGCACATCTTCGTGACGTTTTTTAAAAAAATACCCTCATGCTCCTAAAGAAGTTTCACTTCAAAAAATTATAAAATAACCAACCTTATTAATAAATAAATATTTGACAGCGCCCAATATGAGGTGGTGACTTGTGATGTGACCTTAGTATTATTATTATTTTTATAGACTCCTGTCAAAGAGCAACCGACAATAGAGCAAAAGTCACCGTCCAGTGACGTCATACTATCCCCCACAGGACAGACATTGAAGAAGGTAAGACATAATATATTACTTGAAGTTGTATATAATAATTAATATGTAATAAGTGCCATTGCTTATGTACTAATGTGTGTTGCCACTCGAACGGTGAAGGAAAACATCGTGAGGAAACCGGCTTGCCTTAGACTCAAATAGTCGACGGCGTGTGTCAGGCACTGGAGGCTGATTACCTACTTGCCTATTAGATTAAAAAATGATCATGAAACAGATTCAGATCTCTGAGGCCCAGACCTAAACAGGTTGTAGCGCCACTTTTTTTGCCAATTATATTTATTAGTTATAATTTTTATGCATATTGTGATCAATTTTAAATGCAAAGTATTGGTATATACTTAATAAATGTTTTTCCAGGTTCCAATTAAGGCTCTGCCGCCAGGTGTCAAACCAATGCCTCTACCCATGAATGCGAGACGTAGGTTTTATTATCATTTACTAAGTAGTATTATATTATTTATATTTAGTAGTATTATTATATTATTTACTAACAAAAATTGTATAGTCTGTATTCCCTATACTTTTATTTATTTTCTTAAATATCAAGATTTTTTATATTGTCTGCAAAAGTCTAACATTAGTTTAACATAAAGATGTAGCCTAAGGGAGCGTTCAAGTATTACGTCACGCAATTTTTGGAGATTATTGACCCCCCTCCCCCATAACGCGCCGTAACGTTTCTCTGTACCCAATAGTAAAACGTTTTGTGACCACCCAGTGACTCTTTATACCTAAAAGTTAACAATAAATTAATTCAATTCCCGCCCCGTATCGTAACGTTGTACAAAAGGACCCCCCTCCCCCAAATTCGTTACGTAAAACTTGAACTCTCTCTAAGTTTAAAGTGTACTATAAAAGATTAAATGAGCGTGATTTCTGGTGACGATACGGCAGTAATGGGGGACTACAGGATGCGCATGAGCAAGCAAAATCTGTCAGCAATAAAAAACTCCCCCTTACTAACCCCCAAAAATTAATGTAGTAATATTCATATTTAATTTATTTCTTTTCAGCGCAACGCGAATTATGTGAAATGCAAATAGGCAAGAAATTTGTCAAAGTACAGAAAATTGTGATGACCAAGTCGGATGTTGAAGCTATGGCTAAGCAGGGATTACTTGAAATGAAGGTATGTTATTACTTATTAAGTAATTTATCAATTATCATAAATATATAATTAAATAAAATTGTGTTGGCTAACAAAAGGTATTATTTTATTAGAACTACTGAGAAAAAAGCAAATAAACGATCAAAATCATTTATTCAATTAGTAAAACAATGTACACTTATGAACGTCAATAAAGAAATACATAATAAAGCTTCTAATTTTACATTTACTGCCAGTTCTCAAATCAAGGGCGTAGACCCGAAGAGAAGAACTAGCAATAAATTCTCCGCCACTCTTTTTAATCGCCATGTTTTTTTTACACAATGTTTGTATGGAGCTGCAACCATTACACCATGTTCCACGTGACATCTTAAGTAATGAATAGTTATTTAATAATTTAAAAAAAGGTTTGGCCTCTATCTGGAGGCATGGTGAAATAGGAGCACGCATTTACATTCTCGTGGGGACAAGAAACAAATATTTACACGAAATAATTAACATCACCGCATACACGAATTCAAGTCCGACCAGTCACCACAAGTGGCACCCGTTCACGAGTATGACGCAGATAAAAAATGCTAAATACATGTTTATCATATAAATTCTTGATCAAATTCAACACAGAAAATATTTTATAACAATATTCATTAGAAATTACCAGCAAATAGATATATTTAATGTAACTGAAAAATGTTTAAAAAATAATTTAATAAACTCTGGTATCTTTTATTAATAATGGCTTTGTATTATTTATTCTTCCTTTATATTAAATATATATTATAATGATCAATGAATCTTAGAACTTAGAATTGATTATAAATACATATATTCTTTGTATATTTTTTGTATTTGTATAGGTGAAACTGTGCTTTGTGTATGTTTAAATGTGTATTCCGTGTTTGGCTTTTGTGTACAGTGTAATTGTTTGAATATTATTTAGTAAGTAGCTGTAGGAATACCGTTGAGCAAATAAATAAATAATTAAGTTAGGTGGCGGTTTTTTGTATGGATATGTTCAAATAAAACCCTTTGTTCGAAGCTGGGTAACCACTGACTTTAATGGTATAAAATATGAGCTTATAACTAACTAACATACAAACTAACTTTAATGGTAATTACTTAAGGGTTCACAAAATATCTAAATGACACTTATGTTATTGGACATTATCGGAAACAGAATGTTAAATTACAATTTATGAGTGTGGTAAAAACTAAAGGGCTCATATTGGCTTCAAGTGTGCGATTGTTTAGATTTTGTTTATGCTAATTAACTATAAACTAAAAGATTAATAACTTATCTTATAATAATAATAATAAGAAAGCCCGTTTTATTTCCAATCATGACAAAAACAAATTATAATACACAGCTTAGATTATTTTACATTTTTAAACATTTTTTTTCTTCTTTTGCTTGTTATTCTATATTCTAGCTTCCTTCAGTACCGTCGATCAGAACCTCTTCACGGGTAAAGGCCTCCTCTAGCTTTTTCCAACTGACTCTGTCTATGGCTCTCTTTCTCCATTCGTTTCCTGCTACCGCTTCTATTTCTTCTAACCACCTTTTTTTTGGGCGACCTTCTTCCTCTTAGTCCTTTCCATACATTTGTCTTTAAGGTCCATCTATTATCTGTGTATTTTGCTATATGCCCCGCCCATTGCCGCTTCTGTTTTAGGGCATAATGTAAGGCATCTATAACTTTTGTTCTTCGTCTTATTTTTTCGCTTTTAATTTTATGTACTTATTTTTCTTATTTTAAGTCTAAGTTTTCTTATGTTAACTTAACTTAGGTCACATAATTCAAAGATACATTGGTTTTCATTGCAGGACGGCAATATGGTGCTGAAGCCAGGCATTAAGCTGCCAACAAACACACTTAACAAAGGTAAAAGCATTTCAATATAACAGAGTTCTAAGGTTTGATTTAGTGATCAAAAAAGGTATTATAAACACTGATACGTGTCTGACTTATGTTAAAGAAATTTTTATCTATGTATTGAATTCTTTAAAATTAGCCATTGACAAATAAAATTACTATATATTATCAAACCTTTCAAGTTTTAAGTAAGCATATTAACTGCCATTTAATATATAATAAAAATATTCTTCCTCTTGTCAGCAAAAGTAAGCAAAGCTCTCAAAAATAATAGTACAATTTTTTGTAGGAATCCTCGAAAATGCATTTCGTTTTCAAGCATAGACAATGTGTGGGTAATATGTGTAAAAAAGTTAATAAGTACTGTTGACGTAATCACCAATTAAGAAAATCAAAGAACTTACGTAATACTTAAACGACCCCTGAGCATGACTTAATTTTTCAGCTTATTGTACAATAACCACTATTAAATACATTGTTACAGAGATTAAAGAAACACCAAAAAGAGATAAAGCGGCCCCGACCAGGTGCGAAATTGTGGAATAAATAATACTGTAATGCTAAAAGCATATCTGACCCTGTGGGTTCATAGTGCTAGAGATCGGTAACACGGTGGAACCACTTTACGGTTTTTTTTGGCTTGACATTGACAGGTGATTGTTGACAGGTGTGACACTATATATGTAACAACCTATTTTAAAATAGAGGGTTAAACATGACTCCTGGGTGTCAAAAACTATTGGAATTTCATATTAGTCTCACTCTGATTCTTAGACTAAATTGCATTAACAAATTGTCAGTGTCAAATGACATATAATTGTCAAATTAATGAATCAATTGCGCCGCTTACTTTAGAGGTGAGTTAGCGCAGTGTCACCCATCTCTAGCTGATAATTTAGAATTAAATATATTTAAATTGTGTTTGATGTAGAATTGTATTCAGATTTGTGTTTTGTGTGGTCACTATTTTGTAGGTACGTAATGTTTTGGCGACCATTTCACCTTTAAATTACTGAATCAAAACATGCTTAATAATAAAGTAAAGTTTAAAAATTCAGTACTTTTTGTAACCTCTGATCATTATCAAATTTTATTTAATTCCGGTTAAAGTGTATTAAATTATAAGCAATACGAGCGGATACAGCATTACACGAACTAGAATTGTCCTAAGATATAAAAAATTAATTTTTATTAATTAACAAATGAACTGTCACAAATAGTAAATTTTAAAAAGTTTTCTGGCCTTAAAATTTATTTTAATTAAATCATTCTTCACTATAACTCACTATTTTCCTCCTCATTATTAACTATTGAAGGTGTCTTTTCATATAAATAAAAGATTTTGGTGGACTTCTTTGAATTACCTAAATATTCACTGTCTATGTTGTCATGACTACCATGTTTTATGTAATGGTTACCATGGTAACAAACACAATATTAAGGTATGGATAGAATAAGAATGTTGTAAATCTGTAAAATCCAATAAATAAAACCCTTGGCTCGTACAAGTATTGCAATGAAGTACATTTGTTATAATTATGCTTTATTTTTATTTTTTAGAAAATATGAGTGTTTATCTGTACAGAACTGTATGCTATAATAAATATTATGTATAATTTGTTGTTATTTACCCCCTACACAATCTAGTCATAAAGAAACCCTTATAAAACATCTTAATTCTCTTATTTTAGGTCAAATTGTAATTTATCTAAAGTGTAGCAGTATATGCATATATTTTTGATAATATGTATAATAGTTGCAGTCTTTCCTGTTTAGATATATTTTATCTTCTATGACTATGACTTTATTATATCAATATAAAACCCTGTAATTTTGTTTTGCATTAATCGTACATACGTATTGTATTATTATGGCAAATAAAAGAAACATTTTTCGTGATTAAGAAAGGCACTAAGAAAAAAAATTTTAGACTGGGAAACAAAGACGCTCGTTTAGATTCCGCTACTTGCCCCTAGATGGCATTAGTCATTTGACAAGTTTCTTTCATTTAATAGCAATGTGTTAGATGTCGCTGTCGCGGCGTCAATGTGACAGGACAAGTGAAACGTCACAATTATTTCCCGCTAAAAGTTACCACTTCGCGCCTTGTTCAAAATTGTACATTCAAAGTTCCAACGGCGTGAAAAACGCGCGACAGTTGCAGATAATAAATATTATTTGTATTTTATATATAAAATAACAATATTAGTTATTTAATTATCGACTCTTTGTGAAGTGTAAGTTTCGTCGTTCTTTTAAAAACAGGAAACTACAGCGCGTAAGTATTTTGTTAACTTTTTATTTATCAATTTAAAATTAGTAGTAAAATCAATTTAATCTGAAATTATTTTAATGCATCAAAAGTTGCAAAGATATAAATTTTTAAAGTTCTTAAAAACACTTTACATCAAAAATATGTAGTTAAATACTCCTAATAATTAATTATTATATTTTTATCCAAGAATTTCGTTATTTCTTTTATTTTATTTTTGGTTTAGGCTTCTTGTATTATCTTTTTATTAAATAAATAAAAATTGGGTTAAACAAATACCCTTAAGCCTAGTATTTACAGCTGATAGATAAGATATATAATACTTGTTTACTACACAAACACTCAAAAATGTTCTAGACAAAATTTTATATCTATTCAGTACAACTCTCTGGACGGAAAATGTTTAATTTTCGACAGTTATCGTTTATATAATGATTATTTTCATTTAATTCAACTGGATAAGATTTAAGACATATATTTCTATATATATATATGTAAGGAAAACATAATATTTAATATTTTCCTATACAAACTCTTTTATATTTTATTTTTCTTCTTTGCCGTCTGATCGACGATGTTTTATTTGTCACTTGACATAATAGATGTAAGATGTTTTAATTTTTTCTTTATATTATTTTATTTTATAAAACCTAGAATATAGGCTTTAAATGTTGTTTCTTTTGTATTCACAGGTGAGTGAATAATTTGTAAATATATATTTTTCATTAAATGTAAATTAATAGATATTTCTTTAGTAAATAAATCTTTTGTATTCACAGAGAAACGCAGTTGCGCCTTATTTATCCCCAGTACTCGTATAAGCGATCGATACCATTATATATATATATACTCATTCCTTAAGTATTTTAGAATTGGAGCTCGAAAACTTTTATTGACATTGATTTTTTTAATAATTTCCAAAATTCGCGCATTTTAAATATTTTCGCCACGAATTTTTAAAAACTTATTTATGATGAATGATTAGTGTCTTTTTATATTTGTGTGAATATGTATTCATTTACGATTATATTTAGGTACGGTTCCTGTGTCAGGGGGATAAAATAATGGAAGATAATTTCACGATTTATTATAACCTGTATATTACATATAACTATTAAAATATATACGCTACATTTGGAACGATAAAACTTAGTTTCAGCCGTGACCTCGCGTGAAAATTCCTTGGAAAGCAAACATTTTTCCGGCATAAAACTATTCCATATATCGGACCTATATCGTAACAAAGCTTTGTATTTGTAAGTAGCCGTACTCCGAGGTTTCTTACGTGAGATGTGTTTCGTAATATTAATTGTTCCAGTAGTTTGTGAGATTAGCGTGTACAAATTCAGCGTTAAAATATAAAAATAAATATATAATTAATTTCAATGCGATGGCTAATATTCCTAAACACTTTTTAAGGTTCTATCTTTCACTATCGTCACAAATCAATGACAACAATGGCAAAATTCCATGAATTGGCATCCGCATCCACCATATTCTCCAAATTTGGCCCCAAGCGAGCTTTTTCCTGTTCTCAGACCTCTAGAGATATCTCACTGGACATCTTTGAAGAAATTATCGATTGATGAAGAATTAACCGTCGAAACTGAAGTCTATTTTGAGTCAAAAGACAAATCGTACTATAAAAATGGTATCGAAAAATTGTATGATCGCTGTAATCGTAGTATCGTTCTCGAAGGCAACTATTGAATAATCAAATCAAATTATATAAAAAGGAAGATTTCTTTATTTGCCTATGATCTTTTTAGCCCAACAATAGAAATATTTATCATTACCTATTTCGGTGACGAAGCTTATAAAACCATTTTTTGTCATATCTATACTAAATATTTCCATAAGACACGCAATGTCGCTAGTGGCTTGTTAGATGTAGGGTGATAAAAAATGTGTAAATATTAATACAACCTTACATGCCATGACGGAATTTTGTCATCAATTATTTTGTTTAGGGATTTAGATCCTGTATAAGATTAGTAGACAAATTTTAGTTACAATTTTTATTTCATTAATATTATTTAATTGGCAGATGCTTTTTGTTCTTTCTTTTGTTAATTTTCATTTCTAGCTTTTGAACCGGCGCCTGCATTTGTTGATAATGGAGCAATGAGGGCATCTCCCTCTCCAAGGGAAGGAATCTATAAAAAAAAGTTTTGTTAAAATATATTGATTTGATTGACTTTTCAATAAAATTGTATTTGCAAATTAAATTACAATTATCCAGTTCCGATGTTTCAGTTATTTGAAACTATTGGTTAGTTTTAGATAGATCCATGATTAGAATTACATTTATTTTGCAATAACCCGGTCACTAGAAGAACATTAAAGTGTAAAGCAAAGACTTTAATAAACATGTATTACATAATTTAGTATTTTTTTATCTCAATTAAATTATCAGCAAGCGTTGGTCGTTGGTTCGATTCCTGGATGTGTACCAATAGACTTATTGTCTATATTATGCGCAACTAACATTCGTTCGAACGGTGAAGAAAAACATCGTGAGGAAACCGGTTTGCCTTAGACCCAAAAAGTCGACGGCGTGTCTCAGGCACAGGAGGCTGATCACCTGCTTGCCTATTAGATTGACAAATGATCATAAAACAGATACAGATATCTGAGGCGCAGACCTAAAAAGCGCCACTGATAATAATACAGTCGCGGCTTCCTTCTTTTTTTTGGGAGAAATATTTATACGGTCCAGTAGTTTTTAATTGATGCCTATAATAAAAAAAAAACTTTTGTTTAAAATACAGATTGTAAAAACGTAAATATTAACTCAAAACTAACTAACCTATTTTATTATATTATTAGTATTACTTTTGTAAACAAAAACTTTATAGATGGTAGGTACCATATACATAATTTGCGATCCCTGTAAAGCATTCAGAACGTGAAATTTTTTTAACACGGGGCAAATGGGGTGGATGCTCACAGGATGTTTAGTTACACCGCTACACTCACACAGCCAGAAGGCAAGTATGTCGCTGGCCTTTTAGAAAGCGTACGCTGTAATAAATTCATTTATATCGGTAAAAGCTTTTTGATTGTATTTTATTCATAATGTCTTAATAACTCAATATCGCTTTTTAAATTAGGCGTACACTTGCAACAAATATATAAATCTTTCCTCTATATCTTAGTAAAGAACATATCACTCAGTTGACAATAGTTGGTAACATGCCCGTTCAGATCCTGACCAATATTTTCTATCACCTAACATATGATTTTATTTATTGAATACATTCGCACATGAAAT